GACCCCCACACCAAGCTTGCTGCTGTCAGCTCAGAGCCTCTTTTAGATCCTCTGTCCCCCTCTCTCTCTCTGCCCCTCCCCTGCTTGTGCTCTCTCTCTCTCTCAAAAAACAAATAAAACATTTAAAATATACATATGAATTCAGCAAAGCTGAGGAAACAGAATTAACATACAGAAGTCACTTCTGTTTCTATGCATTTTCAATAAGTAATTGGAAAGCAAATGATGAAAGTAATTGTTCGAAATAAAATAAAAGAGAATAAAATGCAAAATTATAAAACATTGCTCAGAGAAATCTAAGATGACATAAATAAATGGAAAGCTATCTCCTGTTCATTGGATATGTAGTATTGTGAACATGATAATACTCTCCATGGCAATCTAAAGACTGAATACAATCTTTATCAAAATCCCAAGTTTTTTTTCATAAATGGGAAAACCCATCCTAAAGTTCTTAAGGAATCTCAAGGGACTCCAAATAACCAAATCTCAAGGGACTCCAAATAACCAAAACAGTCTTTAAGAAGAACAAGAGGGGACTAGATTTCAAAACTTGCTACAAAGTTGCAGTAATCAAAACAGTGATATGGTAAATGGACAGACATACAGAACAATGGAACAGAATAGAGTCCAGAAATAAATGCTTGCATATATGACCATTTGATTTTTGAGGAGGGGGCCAAGACCCCACAGTGGAAAGGACAGTCTTTGTGGCTTTCCTGAAAACTGGACATCCCCATGCAAAAGTCTAACACTTATACGAGACACGAAAACTAATTTAAAATGAATCAAACATCTAACTTAAAAATTATAAGACTCTTATGAGAAAATATTGGGGGAAGTCTTCATATTGAATTTGGCAATGACTTCTTGCACATGACAACGAAAGCACAAGCAACAAAATAAAAAATAAATTAGATCTCAACAAAATTGAAAACTTTTGTTTGACAAATGATGCTATGAAGAGAGTAAAAATACAACACACAGAATGGGATCAAATATTTGCAAATCATTTAACAGATAAGGGATTAATATCCAGAACATATAAAGAACAACAGGACTTGAAAAGATATTTCTCCAAAGAAATGTAAATGGCCAATAAGCACACGAAAAGATGTTCCAAACCATGCCATTAGGGAAATGCAAATCAAAACCACAATAAGATACCACTTCATTCCCACTTCAAAAAAACTGAAAATAAAAAGTGTTGACGAGGATATGGAGAAAAAGGCACCCTGGTGCATTGCTATTGGGAATGTAAAATGGTAGTTTCTGTGATCATCAGTTCAGTGGCTGCTCAAGAAGTTAAACCCAGAATTACAATATGATCCAGCAGTTCCACTCATGTATATATATATATATATATATATATGAACTGAAAGCAGGGAATCAAACAGAAACTTACTTGTACATCACTGTTGATAGCAACACTATTCACAATAGCCAAAGGGTAGAACACATTGTTTGTTTGTTTGTTTGTTTTACAAATAGTTTATTGTCAAGTTGGTTTCCATATAACACCCAGTGCTCATCCCCACAAGTGCCCTCCTCTATGCCCACACCCCCTTCCCCTCCCCCCACCCCATCTTCCCTCAGTTTGTTCTCAGCATTCAAGAGTCTCTCATGGTTTGCCTCTCTCCCTCTCCCCCACTATTTCCCCCTTCTTCTCCCCCATGGTCCTCAATTAAGTTCCTCCTTATCCTCCTATACGTGCAAACACGTGATATTTGTCCTTCTCTGCCTGACTTATATCGCTCAGCATAACACCCTCAAGGTCCATCCATGTTGCTACACAGGCCAGATTTCATTCTTTCTCATTGCCATGTAGTATTCCGTGGTATAGATAAACCACATCTTCTTGATCCATTCGTCCGTTGATGGACACTTAGGCTCTTTCCATGTTTTGGCTACTGTTGAGAGTGCTGCTATGAACATTGGGGTACATGTGCCCCTATGCATCACCACTCCTGTATCCCTTGGGTAAATTCCTAGCAGCGCTATTGCTGGGTCATAGGGGAGTTCTATTGTTAATTTTTTGAGGAACTTCCACACTGTTTTCCAGAGGGACTGCACCAGTTTACTTCCCACCAACAACGTAGGAGTGTGACCGAAACACCACTTTGGATAGATAAACAAAATGTGCTGTATACATACAATGGAATAGTTCTCAGCCATAAAAAGGAATGAAATCCTGATACATGTATATGGACCTTAAAAACATTGTGTGTGTTCCTAGCTCCTGGCATGGAGTTCCTAAAATCCTGTTTTATCTTGTTTTATGCTGACTCTCAGTTGGGTATGGTGGCAGAAGGCTAGGTAGCTTCAGGATGGGGCTAGTTACCAGAAAAACTATGTGATTAGAGGGTTAGAACTTTCAGTCCCAACCCCAACCTCCAAGGAGGAGAGAGGTCAACCAGTGGCCAAGTCAATGAATGATGCCAAGATGAGGCTTGGGGGAGCTTCTGGTTGGTGAACTGATCATATGCTATAAAGGCAGGGCACCCTGAGAGAACATGGACACTCCGACGCACCCCCCACTCCTAAACGTTGTCCTCTCCCATTTGGTTGTTTCTGAGGTGCATCCTTTACAATAGAATTGTAAGTATGGCATTTTCCTGAGTTCTATGAGTTGTTCTACTAATTACCCAACCTGGGGAGGGCACATAGAAGGGGAGGAGGTCATGGAGACTTCCGAATTTGTAGTAGACTAGGAAGAAGTGGGGGTAGCCTGGAGGCCCTATTTGCTGCCGGCATCTGAAGTGGGGGCAGTCTTATGGGACTGAGCCCTTACTTTGTACGGTCTGTTAACTCCAATAGTGCCAGAATTGAATGGAATTATAGGAAATCCAGCTGATGTCAGTGATTAAAAAAACTGGCATTGGAACTATGTCATCTGGTGTCAGAAAAGACATCAAATAATTTTGCTAAGTGAAATAAGCAAGACACAAAAGGGTAAACATTGTGGTTCCACTTATATAAGATACCTAGATTAGGCAAATTCATAGAGACAGAAAAAACAGATGTTACCAAGGGCTGGGGAAAGTGGGGAATGGAGAGTTATTATTTAATGGATACAGAGTTTCTGTCTGGGATGATGAAATAGTTTTGAAAATGAATAGTAGTGATGGTCCCACAATACTGTAAATGTATTTAAGGCCAATGAATTGTACACTTAAAATGGGCTAAAATGATAAATTTTGTTACATACATTTTACAATAAAAAGGTAACAAAAATATACTTAAAAAACAGTAATCACATACAAATACAAGAACGTATCTCTTACCCTTGTAAATATTATTTCAAAGGTTCATAAATGCTATAAACCTCACAGGGTCTCGAATTTAAATCATTTAAAAGCATATGTATGATCCTTTAAACAAAATACGAGTTTCAGAGTCCACAATGATAATATCAAGTATGCAGGGAGAGCAGAAATTGGAAAATTCTTTGTAAGAATTATAAGGGTAGAATGCCAACTAACAAATGCAGAGTAACAGAGTTAGAAGATCACACTTTTGAAAACCTAGTAGGAATTACTTCAGGAAATAGTCAATTCAAGAATGCCGAAATTGGTGGGTGCCAGTTTGATGAGACATATTTACATAGTCTCAAAGTATCTCTCCGTAAACTTAATACAAAGGAAATTTTTACAGGGAAGAAAGCTGCTGGGTGCCATTTTAACCAAGTGATCAAAGTTACTATCATTGCTAATGACACACACCCACATTATGTGCCTCGCGATGTGAAACACTTGAAAAAGCACGGCATCATTTACGTAGTATTTCTGGAATAATGCCTACCCTGAGTCAAATCATGACAAAAGTATCAGAGAAAAACAGAGTAAAGGCTATCTACAAAATGAATAGTCTGTCTTCTCCAGAAACGTCAGTATTGTTAGAGACAAAGAAGGGCTGGGGAATCGTTCCAGACGAAAGCTGACTAAAGAGAGAGGAAAACTAAAGGCAGTATGTGATCCTGCTATGAACCATGCATCAAGAAGAGAAACTTATATAAAAGATATGGAGACAACTGGTGAAATGTGAATCCGGTCTTAAGATCAGATAATACTAGGTACCAGTGATAAATATCCAGACTTTGACCATTGCTCTGTGATGCTATAAACGGACAGCTTTACAATCGAGAAGAAAAAATTAGAGAAAACATCTAACTATATAGGTATATAATAAAAACACATAGACATATATATATCTATAATAATATATACGTGGGAGGGGGAGCGAGATGGGGGGATGGGTGAAGAGAATAAAGCAAATGTAACATAACACTTGGCCAATCTGGGTGGAGAGTATATGGGAGTACTATGCACTACTATTGGAACTTTTCTGTAAATTTGATATCGTTTCAAAGTTTAAGCTTTTATAAAAAGGATATGAAAACTCTATCACAGAAGTAGGCCAAGTTCATGCGTCTGGAGAGTCCCCAGTTTTCCTTCAAAAACAGTGAATAACCCTATTTCCGTTATTACTTGTGTTTCTGTATTTACTCATATTCCCTCATTCTCCTAAGTGGCATTTAAATTCAAACAGCAAAGTTAAAGATCACATATTGAGCGAGACAGGACAGCTACCAGTCAGGGGCATGGCTTGAAGTAAAGTAGTCAAACTTAAATACTGTAGAAAATAATAGCTTTTGCCCGATCAGCGATGAATATTGTTCTTTATTCCATTTTTAAAACCCAACAGTGGCCCCAAAACATTATTCTCATTTGTTTTATAATCATTTATTCATTCATTCTGGAAATGCTTATCGATTTTCAAAAGAACCCTGCTCACTGCTAGAGGGGAAAAGTCTGCAAATAATCATTAATTGACTCTTTTCATTGAAACTGAAATAAAAATATATTTATTATACTAGAAAGTAAGGTTTACTCACTGTGGCTGAGCCAGATGAATATGGTTGTAGGTAGAAAATGTATACAGTAAAATAAAAAAATTAGTTTGAAGTAAGAAAATGTCATGTATGTAATTTCACAAGAAAATGAATTTCCTTCAGCTTTGCTTTTATTTCATGTTGCTGAACTGTATATACACCACACATATCATACATATATGCTTGTTATACAAAAATGTATACAAAAATCCAAGTAATTCAATATCTAAAAAAGGGAGAGGGAGATACTGCATTTGATTCCTGGTACTCTTCTGTTTAAATACTTCTCAAATTCAGATTTCAAGGAGACAACAAATTGAAAGCCACGGATTCATTTTTCAGAAAGCCTGTGTTCACATAAGCTTGTCCTTCAAGAACACGTTTGCTAGAACAGTGGGCCACGGGGCTGACTGAGCAGTCACTGGAATGCGCCCTGGTGCTGAGCAGGGGCTGTGCTCTGCCGCTCCGAATTTACAGAGTCAGCTCCTAACAGGGACCGTGGAGCCCAAGAGGGACTTCCACCCACCCCGCTCAAGGCCACGTCACAGCACACACACCCTCTGCGGTCTGCCCACAGATTCTTGTAACGACGTAATACTCAAAAGAATAATGACTAGAAATTGTACTTTTCCTAATTTGTTATTCAATTTGAAAAACATTGTCCTTGGCAACTTGACATCATACCTGAAGAAATAATTTAAAGATCCTAGGGAGCAAATATATACATAATCTTCTAAAAAGTCTTGGTATTGTTTAATTCAGTTATAATTTCAGTTCTACGGTTCTCAATCACAGCAAATATAAAGAATTTAAAATAACACTCCTCCACATAGTATTATTATGTTTTTAAAAAGTGAATTGCCACGGCACCAACACATTATGTGATTTGCCCAAGGTGAAGAAAGGAATGAGGGGCAGATAAAAGAGTGTTTCTTCTCTGAATTATGCCATCTTGCAAAATTAGCCCGATGCAACAGATACAGAAATTAGACACATTATTTAGGAATGTTTGTTTAACCTAAATTGCTGTTATTAATAAACTTAGTTTTTAAAATCTATACGTTTATCATACATTATCAGGAATTCATAAAAGAAACCTCATTTCCTGAATTATTAGGCATGTAATGAGTTACTGCTTAAATTTGACACAATTGATTGCGAAACCAAAATCGACGATACAATTTTAAACCAACAAGTTCAGCAAAAGTTGCTTATTAACATTTTTTTAAAAAATACTAATTATAGAACCTACAAAATTTAGAAGACGGTACTATAGACACAAACATACTAATATAAATGTATTAAATCGTCTTCGAGTTGATCTTTTGTTTTCTATGAAAGCGTTCTAACAGAGCACTCATAATGTTTCCCGGTATTCTTTGGTGTTTATCAATCAAAGCTTGAAGAGCATTCTTTGTCTATTAAGAAAACAAAAGAAAAGCCGTTATTCTTTTGGTTCTCAAAATAGATCATTCATTTTGTAAAGATTTTAATATACTACAACTTTCAACAAGTCCTCCCTCATTTGGCACCCCTCCCTCCTCGAAATTAACGCCTTCCTTCTCTGCACACCCACAGCGTCGCTCTGGTACTTTCTCGGTTGGAAACGCAGTTCATGTTGCACGGCTATTTTGTTACATGGCTATTTTCTACACTAGACTGTAAGCTCCTTAAGACAACTTCGTCTTTCTCCAACACTGAGCTGAGCACAGCAATGCTTTGCATACAATAAGCTCTAAAAGGAAAGGAGGAGGAAAAATCAGAAGAAAACAAGTCGGAGGACATTTTTCTAGGGGGCAGGTGGGAAAGGAAGTTCTACTCCTTTCTACCCATGCATGCATCTCTGTGTGTGTTTCATCACATACACACAACTACATCACGCAATGCAAGGGAAAAAGTGCTGCTACGCTTTTAGTTCCCTGCCTCAATTTCTGGACAGTTTCACAGGACTTGCAGTCACAGCAATGGAAAAGCCAATGGGATATAACTGGGAGTCTCCTAAAACAATTGGCTTCCCATTAAATTCATGACAGACTTGAATAATTTTTACTTTTAAGCCCGCTTGAGGCTAAGAAAATATTTGTGCGTGCACATAAAGCATGCATGCACAAGCATACATACGTCCTTTTAGATGGTAACCTTTTAATAATCCTTCTTCTGATACATCTTGGACCTTCATCCCTTTATTTTGGTAAAGCGGTTTTTATTAAATTCCAGTTAGTTGACATACTGGGTGATACGGGTTTCAGGTGTACAATGTAGAGATTCGACACTTGCGTGCGTCACATGGTGCTGGTCACGGCGGCCCCCACCACCCGTCTCCCCTCTGGTGACCATCGGCTTGTTCTCTCTAGTTCAGAGTCTAAGCTTCGTCTTTTTTAAATATAATTTAATAAGTCCTAGCCCAAAGATGTATTTTAAAAATAGGCCTCTCTAAACCCCAAGTTTTCATATCTGTGAAAGGAGAACTAGTTCATACACTTATTCTAAGGGTTAAATGAAATTTCAACCATGTCCTCAGCTACCAGGCAGTGACCAAAAGTGCCTAATACAGGTTGTCTCCTGTGAAGTCTATTCTCTATATTTTATTCATTTATTTGGAAAACAGGAGATGCTTTGGAAGCTATAACATTTGTGAAACAAGTCTCTAATCTCAAGCTCGTAACTGTGGGTCAAGTACAAAGTAATAAAAATCTAAGACTAGTTGTAAGATGTGTCTACCATCTGAGATGGGAAAAGAAGACATTTGGAAGTTCAGACTTGAGAGCCCATTTGGTGGGCAGTGACCGGGAAGGACACATGAACAAGGTACCCAACCCAGTTGGTCTGGGTCCCCGAGGACCAGTACCATTTCAGGGACAGAGAAGACAAGAATAGGAGCCAAATGGACAACCACTGCCTAAGGAATGGTGAGTTCGGGAACCTGGCCGGACTTTCAGGTATGCGTTCTGAAGCTGGGTGGTGTAAGGCTCTAAAATCATAATTGAATTACATCATGAAGGGTGTCAAACACCAAGTGAGAAAGCACAGACTTTGTTTAATATGAACTGAAGTGTCAAGGAAGCGTTTGGGGCAAAGAAATACCAGGCCAACACATTAAGAAAGGACAACTCTAGCAAAATCACCAATGATACCCTTCTGTCACCAAACCCATTCTTTTTTTTTTTTTTTACTTTGTGTGTGTGTGTGTGTGAGAGAGAGAGAGAGAGAGAAAGAGAGAGAGAGAATGTATTTATTTTGAGAGAGTGTGAGTGTGCCTGCTAGTGTGGGAGGGGCAGAGAGAGAGGGAGAGAGCGAGAATCCCAAGCAGGCTCTGCACTGTCAATGCGGAGCCCAAATCAGGTAAGATCACGACCTGAGCCAAAACAGAGTCAGATGCTTAACTGACTCAGCTCCGTTCAGTGACATTCTTTTAATCTTACGTGACCTCTCAATCGCCATTGGTCTTGCTTCTGGAATTCTCGTACTGCAGGAAAATCTAGGTTTTCTCCTAGTTTTCTGGCTGCTCCTTTTCAATCCTCTTTGAAGATTTATAATCCCGAAATCTGGCACCGACTGACTCTTCAAAGGTTCGGTAATCTTTCCCCTTTCCACAACTCTAATTCCCTTTCGTGTGCTGCCGACTCCTCAGTTTGTACGTCCAGCTCGCTCAGCAGGATATGAGTGCTCGAGAGAACTCCTCTTGAATGTTTTAAAGGCACCTCAAATCCAACATGCTTAAGACCAAACTAACATTCCTTCCCCCTCATACTTTGCCCCTTCCTTCGTTCCTTCCCTATTTCAGCAAATGACACGGGCATGAATCTAGCCAAGGAAGCCCAAACCTAGGAGGCATCTGTAACTCCTGCTTCTCACTTACAAGAGCCAATCCATCGGCACATCGTTTACTTCACCTCCCAAACACCACTCACCTCTACTCACTTCTTTCCATCTTCTTTTCACCTTTACACGTATATGATATATGCATGTGTATGTACATAAACCCGGATTTCTAAGTATGTGTGGATGTGCGTATGAGACTACAGAGAGAGGGTTAAAGAGACAGACAGAAACAGACACTGTAAACACTGAAACAACAACAGATTAAGACTGAGAGAACGTTCAGGAAATATCCCAAGTGCCCTCTTGAGCATTAGCACAGTATATTTTAATTTAGATTTAGATAGTGCTCACAAAGTAGTTCTCCACAATCAAATGCCGGAACAATCTATCACCCATTTTTTAAATGAGGTTTCATTTCTACCTTAATTTGGATGCTAGTAATTTTGAATCTGTGATAATCCAGGGGTCATTATCCTATAGTTTATCCTTATATTATTAAGAAGTGAAGACTGGAAAATCATGACAACATATTACAAAAGGAAAATTTCAAGTGTTCTTTATTTCAAGTACATTTTAGTTCAATAATGATAACTTTCAGTCAAAAATACGAACTATGTATTTAAATAAATTCCCCCAAGAAATGCTACCCTGCTTTGGCAGACTACTTGTTACTTCAGGTACTGAAAATAAAGCACAATAAGTAACTGGAGATGATAACTGATGAATTTCAATGATTCAGAAGGGCCTTTGCTTTCTTACTTAAATTGGTAAGTTTTCACTATATTTATATGTTTTAATATATAAAATACCCACCTCTACCAGTGACATGAATGTTAGTAAATTCTGCTCTCACATGAAAAATCAAGGCACTGGAATTTAACTATCAGTAATATACTTTCCTTAACTGAGGAAAATAAGGGAACAGCATTCATTTAATTTGAGACCTAAAAGAAATGCCTAAGCTCACTCAGTTCCCTTTCTCTGTTCTATGAATAAGGAAGCCGGGACCTGGGGGAGAATGTACTTTTCTAAAGTGATACTGCTGCCTAGTGGTAGAGTGAGGATTAGAACCCAGATCCCTCAACTTTCCCCCTCTTTCTCTGTGACCTTCTATTTTGTCCATAAAAATACTTGGTATTTGTAAAAGGTGTTCCTAACCAGCTCTGACCCACTTAAATCGTAACAGGTAGGGAGGAAGGAGTTTTCAAAGAACAGAATAAAAGTCACTCATACCCTAGAGGAGAACAGACAGCTCAGGGGCAGCAAGGAAATATGTTACACTAACGATGAAGTGCACGCAGGCAGAAGCGGCATCGCTGGGTAAGGTCTCACCCCCGGGTGAGGCTCCGGGAGCCGCATCGGTGGGGCAGCCCTTCCGGAGCAGAGAGGAGTCATGTCATGTGGAGAGCAGGTCCTGACTCTAAAAACCAGTGTCACAGAGATTTGTTTCCAGGATGAAGGAGGGCAATAAGCTCTGAATTCATGTAATGAACCAGCATTCATATAACTGAAGGTAAGTTTTCTTTTATTTTCTCTTAAAAAAATTTTGGTAATGTCTATTTATTGAAAGAAAGAGAGGCAAAGAGTGAGCAGGGGAGGGGCAGAGAGACAGGGAGACACAGAATCCGAAGCAGGACCCAGGCTCCGAGAGGTCAGCACAGAGCCCGACGCAGGGCTCGAACTTGCAAACCATGAAATCATGACCTGAGCCGAAGTCCCGCACTTAACCGACTGAGCCCCCCAGGCGCCCCTGCAAGTAAGTTTTCTGAGAATGAAGTTCAGAGACACATAAGCAAAGACAAAGGCACATAATGTTTCTTTACTGCTACCCTTTGTGAAACCTCCTCCATGTCAGCTGCTCAGTAGGAACAGTGTCACCTAATGTCTCCGCTGCTGAGCCCCAGTACGCTGGGGTAGAGTATAGTCCTTCCTCCTCTCTGCCTACCAGGCCCCTCTCTTTCGGGCCATCCTATGGGAGGCATACTGACCCTGTCCCAGTAAAGTCCAGGGTGGCCGTGTGACTCCACTGGCCAGTAAAATGTCAGTGGGAGGGGCACCTGGGTGGCTCAGTAGGTTAAGTGTCTGACTCTTGATTTTGGCTCAGGCCATGGTGGTGTGGTTTATGAGGTCAAGCCCTGCATCGGGCTCTCTACTGTCATCACAGAGCCTGCTTCGGGGCCTCTGTCTTCCTCTCTCTGCCCTTCTGTGCACTCTCTTTCTCTTTCTCTCTCAAAACTAAATAAAGATTATTGGTCAATTATATCTCGATAAAGCAGGGGGGAGGGAAGAATCTTGCATGGCTCATAAAGGAACCAGAATAAAAAGTTGATGGATAAATATCAGAAAAAGAAAAAAAAAATGGGTAGTTGGTTTTCAGTGGGTGTGGAGATTGGAGGCTGGCTGCACACGTGAATATATTTAGCACTACTAAGCCATACCCCTAAAAATGGTTAAGTAATAAATGTTATAGGTCTTTTACTACAATTTTAAAAACTTAAAAAAAAAATCACACTATACACACCTAAGGCTGGTATCAAAGTCATAATCAAAACACACTCACACCGTTTTCCAGATGATTCAATAAAAGCCTTTCCACTCAGGGGTTTTACGTAGTTTCATACTTTCTGAAGACGTGACTGCTGAGTGGTCTTTTCTCAGCCTCATCTTCTTTATCTCCTTGCGGGATGAGTCTCACCGATCATCCCTATTATCAAACATCCTCACCTGCCGACTTCACTCACACAGATGTCCTTGTTTCCACCTCTCATCTCTTCCCTTCCCATCAGCTTTGGTCGTCGTCCCTGGCACGGCCCCCATGTGTTATCTGTCCCCCAGTCCACCCTCATTCTTCTTCGTAGTCTAACCTGCTTTGTAAAGCTCATGACTTCACTAACTGTCTCGTGCCAATAACTTCTAAATCTTCTTCATCAAGTCTGACTTCTCTCTCAAACTCCAGTACAGTATTTTTAAAAACCTACGTATATAAATATATATGTACATATCCTACAGGTAGCTACAGAAGTAATTTTCAAGTCTGGTATGTTCTATCTCTATAAAACATCTCAGAGCTGTACCTTGCTCTCTCTTCCAGGTAGATAAAGAAGTCACATTGTGATTCATTCATTCATCAAAGATTTATTGAGATCTGATTAAATGCCTAACTGTGCTGGGAACTGGAGACCCAAGAATTCACAGCACGGGCCCTGCTCTTAAAGAGTGCACTCATATTTACAAGTATCTAAGTAATCACAATTGCTACAGTCGTCTTCATTGCAGAGAAACCGATTATACATCTGTTTGTTTTGGCCACGTAACTTTGAATGAAACTGATATGAGCCACTCCCAAACAGAGGCCTATCCTAGCTGAAATGTATCTGGTAAACAAATTCCCTAGTCTAGTAGTTAAGGGCCTAAAAATGTGGCTCCTACTTACTAATCCAGTAGCATCTCAATCAAACCCTACCCACTAAGCTACCGATTGCACAAGTTTATTCCACAGCTATTATTAAGGGCTATTCCAGGAAAAACAAGGAGGGTTTAAGTCAGGTAAGACTGGGAAATGCTTTCTGAAACAAAGTTAAATAGACTTGTTTGCAGGGCCTCTTCCTGGAGGAGAATTTATTAGGCAATCTTTTCCAACTATGCTGTTCTAACCAACACTCCTGGTATATGGTCAACTCCCCTACAACCAGGTCTTTGTTCATACTCTTCCTCCAGCCGCAAGTCCACATGACCAAGTCACGCCCTTCTTTCAAGACCCACCACAAATGCCCTCATTCCAGGAAGCTTTCCTACTTTTTCCTTCACAAAGCAGTCTTTTTCCCCTCTGAGCTTCTACTGGTCTCGCTCAAAATCAGCCTCCATATTGCTTTCAGTGATTTTCCCAAACGCAAACCTATTACATCATTCACCTATTTTCAAGAGCACCCCCCCTACTTTCAGGAAACAAAATCAATTATAGGCCATGATAGTCCCAACCATTCCTGTGTTTCTAGCCTCATCTCCTATGATACCCTTTGTAGCTATACAACACTACCCCCAACTCCCCCAAGATTTTCTGCTATTTCATAACCATCCCTTTATACATGCAGTTTCCTCTACCTCATTACTCTTTGTCCAGCTAATGCCTTGTTTCTCAAAACTGAATTCAAGCATCACCTCTCTCAAGGAGGCATCCCTGCTCTAACTTAGATGATCTTCCCTTAGTGCCTCCATGATGCCCTAAGACAGCAGGTCTCCATTGAGTGGGATATCTAGACCATACAGAAAGGTCTAGAGCCATTCTTCATGATCACGATGAGTGAGGGATGTGGATGGGGAGTGCTCTTGGCACCCAGTGAGCAGAAGCCAGCGATGGCGGTGGTGCGCCTCCTAGAGTGCGCGGGCAGCACCGCACATCAGGCTGGCTGGAAGCACACCGCTGTAGGGACACAGGACCGTGTAAGCGCGGATTCGGGTATTTAGCTCCCTCACGAGACTCTAAGTTCCTAGGACAACAGGACTCCCTGGTGTTAGCAGTGTTAATATCCAGCACTCACGAAGCACTTACTATCTGCCACCTGCTGTTCTAAACAACAAGCCTGTATAACCAACCTCACGTCATGCTCAGGGCCAACTATGAGTGGGATCTATGCCCTTCCTGCTTCTGCACACTAACAGAGTGAGCTGGGGACTCCCTGGGGTCACACAGCCAACTGCGGAGCTAGGAACAATCTGATTTCATAACCCTTAAACACTGTGCCATTTTCCTCCCAAGGTATTTCTATCAAATAAGAACAATACTTTCTTTTTACGGAGGTCAAATCTTTCTTTTGATCACATTCTTCTGAACATCACTTATGAAACTTCTTAATTACCAGTGCCAAGAGCCCCAACTTCAGCACTTCTGACATTTTAACATGAGTAGTTCTTTGTCGTGGGGGCTTACCTAGGCATCGTAGAATGTCTACCAGCGTCCCTGGCCTCTACCCACTATTGCAAATGCCAGTGGCACCACCACCTCCCAAGGTCCTGCCTGTCACGACAATAAAAAAAGTCTCAAGATATTACCAAGTGTCCCCTGAGGGAAAATATCACACCTGATCTAGAACACGTGGGTACAATAAATTACTGAAGTGATTTTTAATACAATACTTAAAAGTAAAAATCTGTTCAAAGATTAAGAAAGAAACAATAATTTACCTTTTCAGCTAATTCTTCTGCTGTTATCTTTGGATCATAGGGAATAGGATCACCTAAATAGGTGCGTAACTTCACAGGAAAACCTCCATACATCGGAGCAAATGGATAGCGGAATTTTTCATAAAGCCACCTAAATAACCCTGTTTTCAAAAGGTAAACAAATGATTTTAATGGGTTAAATATTCTGAACAAATAACTGTAACTTCAAATTAATTACGTAAGGCTTAGAGGGAGGTGGCAAACAGTACCACCTCCAGGCAATTAATACAATATATGTTTTTTTAAGATGAGCCCATCATCACTTGTAACGAACGCAGCACACTAACGCGACATGCTAATAACAGGAGAAACGGGGGTGGCCAGAAGCTTTATGAGGGCTCTGCGTTTTCTGCCCAAGTTTTCTGTGAACCTAAAAGTGCCCCCCAAAATAAGGTTTATTAATTTTTTAAAAATGAGCTTTCATAAACAAGAGAATTTAAAAACGGCAAACCAATTATTATTATTATTACAAAACAAAGGGTAATGACTGTAACCCAAAGCTAGAAGCTAAAACGTCTAGAGACTCACAAAAACAGACTTATATGAAGAAAAGAAAAAAGAGAAAAGGGTAAGATAAATTCACATAATCATGAAACTAAAATGCACCAATAAACCAGGTAAAGAAAAAAATATTATTGTAAATTAAGAAAACTGCAGAGTAGCAGAGAATTACTAATGCTAGTGACCAAGTATGAAACTCAGCAGGATTGAAACTGGTAATAATGTAAAATAAACGGATGAACTAAGTCAAGAAGAAAGTCAAAAAGCAGCCAACAGTAATTTTTAAACCACTTTATAATTAAGGAAACAAAATTAGGAATAATTTTTGGTATGCAAGTTAAATTCTGAAGAAATGACCGGAAAGAAAATTAGAAGAAATAACGCTACTTTAAGAAATAATTGACAACAGCAGTTAACTATCACATTACTTTCCACTTTACATTTGAAAAAAAGAAGGGGGAGGAGGTAATACCTAAAAAAATGTAATAGAATATCAACAATATACCAATATTAGACATAAAAGAAACAACAGAAATTTGCAGTTCTTCAAGAGGAGATTTGCATGTGGATAGGAACAATTAACTCTAGCTAGGAATATAGAATATAATCAATTGAATATAATATATAAACCACAGGGTATAAAAATAAACTATGAAAATCTCAAAGTAAGAAGGAAACCACAGAGAAATTGCAAAGAAAAAGCACATCTAATTGTTGTCACCCCTTGAACTATGCTCAAAGCTTATTTTGTTACCCATAAATTAAAGTTAGGCAAAAAGAACTTTACAATATACACGTGTCATGGTCCAAAATCTCTTAAAAAGCAAAACACAAGAAGTAACAAATGAACCAAAGCAGATGATACATCCTTAGGTTGTTAATCAATTATCATGCATTTTTAAAGCTGAAACTTATTCAGCAGTGAGTTAGGAAGATAGTCTGGGTAATGGGTACATTTGTTCTAAACCTCAACGACATGGTTCAACCCAGGAAATTAGAGAACTCACGATAGTTTTAAGCCCACAACATAAGAGCTTCAGTATGTAGATGAGATTCTCAAAAAAAAAAAAAAAAAATCTAACATCTAAGAACTGCCATTACTTAGAAAGAGTTATCATTTAGACTTTAGAAAAGCATCTAAAAATATATCCATTATCTAAGGTATTAATTCAAAAAGATTTCTTACAGGGTTCAAAAGCCCAAATATTTAAACTAACATATTCTAAGTATTACATTATAATTAGAAAAACCATATGAATCAGAACTTACTTGTTCCTCCAAGTGATCTAAATCCTTCTCGAATATTTTGTGTAAACATAGGAATAATGGGCTAGAGAGAATTTGAATTAAAAAGTAAATATATTGATCCATTCAATATCACCATTGAATCAGTAATGCAAACTTGTGGGGGCCTGTTTAAGATTATGAAAACGAGGTATTTTTAAAATAAAGGTTTACTTTTATCACTAGTGTGATTCATCGGACTAAATTTAACTCGATCATTTGTAAAAATAAAAATTGGAACTACTACCCTCTAGTGGCAATATATAATATTTCACTTACCAACTTTCCTATCATTCCATATAAACCCTTGAAACTCAAAATAAGGATTACCAAAAACATTAATTTCGTTAAACAAAATGAACGTGGTAAAATGATTTTACTGGTCCACTGAGTAGTACGCTCACTGGAGAAAGCTACAAAGCAGAGGTTCTCTGTATGGAGAAATTATATAAATTTAAATGACCAGTTTTGGGAAGATGCGGTCATAGAATTACTGAAACACCTTTTTTTGTGAGCTTGTTAAATCTAAGAATGTTCAACATCAATGAAAAGTATAAAACTCACTGCAAAAAATAAAAAAGGAAGAGCATATATATAAAGCAATTCCTTTTATCATTTTAGAGAATTTCTGCTCACACAAGTTTAAGGTTTTTATCTTCTATAAATATCACTGATTAAGCATGATTTTTTTTAAGCGGAGATCTTAACTAAATGTCTTAAAACAATGATGAAATAGCAAAGGATCATGTAAGGAGGTTCTGCTATGGTGAAACTGAAGTACATAAAAAACGTAATAAAAGCACTTTAACATGCACACAAAATACAATGAATTAAATGATGTTTTAGAGGGGAAAAAACCTGAGCATCACTTTACTTCCAGTCTACCATGAGTATTTGCCTGATACAGAGTTACCTGCCTTGGCAAGCAGGGTTTCAGATATTTAATAAGCTGACATTTAAAAAGCCATTCTTGGGGCGCCTGGGTGGCTTAGTTGGTTAAGCGTCCGACTTTGGCTTGGGTCATGATCTCGCGGTTCGTGGGTTCGAGCCCAGCGTCAGGCTCTGTGCTGACTGCCAGCTCAGTGCCTGGAGTCTGTTTCAGTCTGTGACTCCCTCTCTCTCTGACCCTCCCCTGCTCACGCTGTGTGTGTCTCTCTCTCCTAGAAATAAAACATTTAAAAAATTTTTTTTTAAAAATAAAAAGCTATTCTTGGGGTGCCTGGGTGGCTTAGTCGATTAAGCATCCAACTTCGGCCTCAGGTCATGATCTCACAGTTTGTGGGTTCGAGCCCCACGTCGGGCTCTGTGCTGACAGCTCAGAGCCTGGAGCCTGTTTCGGATTCTGTGTCTCCCTCTCTCTCTAACCCTCCCCTGCTCACGCTGTCTCTCTCTCTCTCAAAAATAAGTAAAACATAAAAAATCTTCTAAAAAGCCATTCTTATTATCTGTGGGGAACAGTAAAATATGGTGGACTTTCTTCATAAAACCTCACATACAACCACTGACCACTTATTTACTGCATCTCTCCCTCAACAGGAGGAAGAGCCCTAGCAGCAGCGACACTGTTCTGTTCACAGCTGCCTCCCCAGCACCCGGAACAGTGCCTGGACTAGACGAGGTGCTAAAACAAGGTGCAATGGATGAATTACTGAAGGGATGAATACACAGAACAGAAAGGCAATGCCTGCAGTGGATTAGTTTGTATTCTCTGAACACAAAATGTCAGTAACAGGCAGCAGCAATCTTAAAACCAGTCAGGAAAAAAAGAAGTCGGGTAAAGAAAAGCACTTCCGTGGAAGAAGTTAAAGTTTCATGGTGTTAATTCACAGAGCTAAAACATAAAACAAAGTACACTGACTCTTTGGTAAAAAAATTTAGATTGTGATCTAGGAAACCACCACTAGTTTTGTGAAATAAAGTGACTGGCTGACAGTCTAATGTTTCAGAGAGTTGTGTCTTTAGAGTTGAGAACATAAAATGCCCCGAAAGGAACAGAAACCTTCCAGCTCACATGCAAACCCTTGTCTTCTCTGACCAGTGCTGCTGGATTTATGTCTACTGAGTACAAGAAGCCCTAACTTTGTGCTGGAGCTTGCACTTTATGAGGACCCTCCAGGTTACATATCATCCTGTAAACAGCCTACTCTCCAGAAGCTGGGTACATCTAGAACCTACTACACGGGAAAATGCTTACCCTCGCAGCCTCAGTATTCCAGGCTATAGCCTGGGCATACGGGTTCTAAATTTGCAGTCAAGCTTACAGCCTTCAAACCATAAGCACTGCTTTATTACAACTTGATACCGCAGTAGAATTATTCATTCCTTTCCGTGTGCACCTTTTGTATACAAGGTACTTGCATAAGTAACCTAGAATTAAATTGTTTGCATGAATACGTGTGTCTCTGTGTGTATGTGTGTGCATGGGTGTGTGCAAGAGAAACAGAGTGTATTTTGTTAAAACTAGTCTTGGGGAAGCAGTTGAATATGGCCTGACAATGTGAACTTTGCCACTAAAAGTAAGGGAACACCACTGGACAAAATACTTAACCATGTCTAAGCCTCAGGCTCTTCAAAATGGGAATAATAATTATCCTACCTCAAAGGTTATTTTGTGGATGAAGATAATACACAGTTAACAATTTTATTAAAACAAATGTTATTTTCTTCCACATCACTTATTTGTTTTCTAACTTGAAGAAATGGGCCAGTATTTTCCCAAGCTATTTAGATATGAAGCTACCTAAAAATTCTTATCAAAGTGCTAACTCCCAGGAATTTCACAAAATGAGTGATTTGGATCATATTAAAAAGCCGGTAACTTTCAGATAAGCCTTAAATATTTTTTTACCAGTATTTTGTAAACTTGAATTAACAGTCTAGATTTTTTTCACAATTTTAAAGTAGTTATTCCTACGACAGTCTTAAGTTTTGACTCGAAGTTTATGAGGATTCCGTGAGCACGGTGGGGGGGGGGGGGTTCCCGGTGGGATACATGGACCGTTCACAGCTCTGTGCACAAGCGACCGAAGGAGCCCCGCCCCGTGTGCGGGAGGCGCCGAGCCTGCGGGCCCGCGGACCCCTGCGGCGCGCGCGGTCAGGGCTGGCCAGGGCCTGCCCTGTGCGCGCCGCTCTGCTGTGTGCCCCGGTCCCTCCGGCCCTTCACCCCCCTGTGCCTGAGTCGCCTCATCCGCAACATGGGAATAACTACCTGCTGACTGTACAGGAGGGCCAGCATAAAGCCTTCAGAAGCACTAGAACAGGTGGGGGTGATGCAACATTTATCAAACGTTTAAATACTATTTTGTGAGTCGACAATGTTAAAGGTTTTTTGTTCTTAAAAAAGACTGTTGATAAAAAATTTTCCCCAAGTTTTATACAAAAACCTTAATTAGATTATCTGGATTATCTTAATTAATTATCTAGAAACTCTACCAAAGATTGAAAACAACAGCTCCTTTCTCTCTATAATTTCTTTCTTTCAGGCCTTCTTCCAGGCAATGTTCCTTAAATCTGTGAAGTTAAGGATGAGAAATTAGAATCTCATGACCAATTTAATTCCAAATCTATTTTTGTCATTTGGATCTTAAAGCTTTACAAGAAATAATTCTTTCAAAATATAAACTTGAAAATTAAACTATCTTTGATTAGGTTTTTAGCTTTTATCATTGCTTTCATAGATATTACATTCATTACCATTAACTTTTGTACAATGGTGCATACATCCTTCTGTGCTTTATATTATTCATATATTCTAAAATTTTGTTCTATACATCAGTGCCTAAGACTTTTTGGGAAATAGGGCGCCAGGATGGCTCAATCGGTTAAGCATCTGTCTCTTGGTTGCCGCTCAGGTCATGAATCTCACAGTATATGAGTTCAAGCCCTTGGGCTCTGTGTTGACAGTGCAGAGTCTGCTTAGGATTCTCCCTCCCTCTCTCTCTTCCCCTCCCTCGCTCGTGCTCGCTCTCTCTCTCCAAAAATAAATAAACTCATGAGAAAAAAAAAGCTATATACCTTTAAAAAAAAGAATCTTCAGGAAATAAAATGTGCTATAATCTTCCGTATCACTAATACTATTAACAAAAACTCCAAATGTCCTTTTCTAGTGGTGCTTAATATTGTGTTAAAAAAACCAACTCAATTCAATTCAAAGAGCCTACCTGATGCCAGTCACTGCAGGTGATCTTGTCCTCAGGGAGCTTATAATCTACTATAGGACAACAGTGTTTCAATGTTTGTTATCTATTACTAACCAGGTGGGCGACTGCACTAACTCTTATTCTGGGACCACATGACTAGGGCACCACAGCAGTAACTTCTAGTAGTTACATGTGCACATGCACAGGACAAACTAAAGCTCAATGCATTTTATTTTAATTCTGCAATTAATAAAAAAGGAAAATCCCATTCTTCTTCAAACACTCGTCTTGGGTTAGAATGAGTCATCCATAATCTCTTCCTTTTTAATCAAGAGCCTGTACTTGCAAGATGAACAGGCAAGCTAAGGGTGCACACTGGTCCCTGCGTAGCAGCAGTGGGTACACAAAACACAGGCAATACTGGCAGCAGGCTCTAACTGCCGGGCCTGGAAAAAGACCACCACCCTGTCAAAGGCACTACCATGTCTTTTTCTGACAGACAATCTACAATGAAAACAGAAAACAAAAAAGAAACATTCCATAAGTAATACGTAAGTGTTTCACAGGATAAAGTACAATATGGAAACCAAAAAGGTGAGAAACACTTTCCAAAACAAAAGGACAAAATGGCATTCAGATTCTCTGGTCTACTAAACAGAATAATTACAGGGGATCCCAGAGGAACACGTAATTTTGTTGACTAATTCTTTCATAAAAATCTTTTTTAAAAGACCTAAGTTACACTAGTATCTATTTCTCATCTTTAATACAATCAGAGAGAGAGAGCTGATCACATTTGCTGATAAAAAAAACAATAGAAGCTATGCATTATTCGACTCCTATGATTATAATAAATTGGTCACAGATAAAAGAACTGCAATGAAACCAACCAACGACCATCACTAAAAATATGCCAATTCAATCATACCAAAGGATTAAAATACATAGAACTGAATTGATTATACTTTTGAAAAAGCTATGACTGAAGGACGACAAAAAGTTTTACAAACCTGGTTAAAAGTCAGATTGTGAAATGCAAAATAAAACTTTGGTGGATATTTGCCAAATTTCCAGACTGATCTGAAGGTGACATCCCATGCACAATTTCTCTATTGCTACCTTACAAAGAGTTATGTACACTAATTTTTAAGTAGTGCAATTAAAGCATCTCAATTCTTATATACTCTGGCTCACTATGTAAGCATTTATTTTAAATTCAACCTAGCTTTACTTTAAGAATTAGTTTTATACAACTCACCACTTTTGCATCAATTGCAACCTGAGCGAAGCCTTTACGATTACCCCAAATGATGTTGTAGGTTTCATCACTAATTAGGGCTTCTCGAACTCCACCTGGTGAAATAGCTAACAAGTGACCACTCCTCAGAATTTCAACACATTTTTCTCTTGGTCCATGTAGAGCACAAAACACATCAAGTAATAAACTAAACCCTGTAAGAAACATTAGCATGAAGATATATCTTAAGTACTTCTTGTCCAATTCTTCAAAACAAACACATTTACAACCCACATAACTTAAGATCTACACTTAAATCAATAAATTCCTTTTTTTACTTCTTTTTAGATCAACAAGAACTCTTAAGATTAACGTAAGATTAATATTGCTGGTAAAGTAATAGCTACTGTGACTTACTAACCACCTCCTACTGATCACCTCCTCAGTGATCACCTACTACTAAGGCTACTGTACATATTCAAACTCACAAAAAACAATGAAACAGGGATTCCGGTCCCCATTTTACAGACAAAGAAAGTTGGCTTAGAAAGTATCTTGCTCAAAGTCACACACCTAGCAAATGGCAGGGCAGAGATTCCGGTCCGGGTATGTCTAGTCCAAAGCTCCTTCCACTGCATCTCATGGCCAAACACTGTCTACAGTATTTATTAAAGCCATCAGAAATGATATCCCATCAGCAATCACAAATCTAATCTTCCTTTAATCCTATAAGAAAGAGAATCACTCAAGAGAATGTAACTCTGACTATGCTTAGCCCTACCAAAATTGGGAAGCCATAACCAAATCCATTGAAATTAAAAGTTAGATGGTATTAATCTCACAATTAGATTTTTTAAATCAATAATAGTAGCAAAATTATTAAGAGGTTTTTTTAAGAGTTTTTAATATAGTGAGTATTTAATTCAGTTAACAGCCAATTCCTGGTCTTAATATACACAGTTTTTCAAAGCACAACTATTTATGGATGAAAGAAACAATCCTGTTAGTAACTAAATATTTGAACCAAATCCTACGTTGGAACTCTGGAGGACCGATGTTAGTGTATACATACATTATTCTTGAGAATGGAAAATTGGGTAGTGAAAACTCCAGACTAACCAAATTTTTCACAGGTTTAAAGATCTGAAGCAAGATTATAAATATTATTAAGATTGAAAGAATATTCACCCCCATTATATTAAAAGCTCCCTGATTTAATTAGATACATTTTCATAATGGGTTTCATAAATTTCAAGATCATAAAGGGGAAATTTCAAGCCAATTGCTAAACAAAAATATTCACATTATGTATAAAAAGAAAAACAATGCAAGCAACCTAATGTTCTATAAGAGAAAACTAGTTAAGTCAATATTTTAGTCATACCTTAAAACTATTCTTTATAAAGCATGGTACAATGTTAATGCTAACATCACAATTTTAAAAAGAAGAACACAAAAGAGACTGCATAACATGTAAAATTATGCAAATTAAAAATGAAGTACAATAAATCAAAATGATAACTGGTTATGTTAGCGTGGTAAGATTCTAATGACGCTCTCCTTTTCTCTAGTTTTCAAATTTATTATAGAGTGATCACAATTACTTTCTAAAGAATAATCTTTCCTAGCCAACTTAGTTTACTTATACAGAGTACGAACGGCTTCTTAGTGACACAGGACACCCAAAACATCAACCATGCCTATGAAAGGCACTGTCACTTAATTCACTGCTTGGTGTTTGGCTATTCAGTTGATGGGCGGCCTTTGCTTTTATTTTTCCAGAGAACATACGATAAACTTTGTTGGTTTATTTCTGGTGATTCAGTGACAAAAGAAAATAAGATTTATTACCAATGAGTTGATTTTAGAATGGCTTTTTAAAAACTGTTTGAAATCATTCAGTTCATTAATCTTTTAAAGAAGTTTGTATAAAGCCTTTACAAATGGTTAAGAAGAATACGGTCCTCAACTTTAAGAACTGTAAGTCTAGCGGGCAAGTCAAGTATGATAAAGACATATAGACTCATAGGACAGGATTAGTGAAGCAATATTATTATATGAAGATAAAATATATCCTGGCTGCTTTTTAAAGTTTGATTTGCTATAATACTGACAGTAATCAAACTCTAATTACTGTGAAGTTAAACTCCCAAAATCAGTATCTCATGGGAAAATCCATCCTATGCAAAATCAGCTATTTTTCTCTGCCAAAATATAAATTAATTGCTTGGCAAAGTTACAGTTTATTTATTTTTAAGTGGAAGTTCAGGATTTAACTTAGACAAATAATAACAAAATACCTGTTAATAAGAAAAAAATTAGGTGACATTTTCGACCATGTCTTTATATTTAGATATATTACATAAATCAGATAATTAGATACTCCCAAATTAGAGTCCTAAGTGTGTTACCCTAAAAAGGCAAAAAGCTTTTCCAAATGATACTAGAGATCTCAAGGATACAGACTTATTAACATAATTTGCTCATGTTAATATCACTGTCCATAGTCAAAGTTTACCTGGGATTTTAAAGACAAAGTGATCGGCCACTACTCGGCAAGTCCTGCCTTTATGGATAAAAATTTTGGCCATGAAGTAGTAAAAATCTATGGGAATAGCTCCATGATAAAAAATTATAAGTGCTGGTCCTTCTTCTGGTATTTTTTCCATCCCATGAACTTCATAACCTGTTAGAAAGACAAAATACAGATGCAGATGCTTAAAATATAGTGATGAGTTTATTTACACTGAAGGATGGTTACTAACTCAGAAACTCAGTCTTTTCTTATTGAAGTGCATGAGCCTTCCTCTTTCTCTTTCCCTCTTTGCACAAATCAGTCCCACGGCCATTAGGTGGTCCACATCAAAGTCTGGGGTAGAGGGGGGCTGGGAGGGCATGCTGCAGCCCAGGCAGGGTGAAGAGGGCACCCCCCACGAGGTGGCCCGGAGTGGGAAGTCAGAGCCCAAGCAGAGTTGTGAGCACACCCCCAAGGGGAACAGCCTAGAATGGGGAGCTGGGACCTGGGCGGGAAGGGAGGGAAGCCAGGAGCAGGGACAAGCATGGGCTCAGAGGACAGCAGTCAGATACTTCAGTGGCCAATACGTGCGTCAGCCCGAGTCGGGTAACGATGGCCTCCCTGAGTGACTTAGGATGGTGGCAGTGATGGGAGCTTGGTTAAATATAGGAGGACTGGTCAAATGAGTCTACACATTAAGGGTAACGGGAGCCAGGTTTCTTACTGTTGGAGAAGGTGGCTACAAAAACAGAAAAGGAGAAAACTAGAATCAGTTCTAGCCGTAAGAGAACCTCCTTCCCACCCTAAAAAGCAAGAACAAGCAGTGTGTCGGAAAGCTGAGGTCGCTCTCTCCATCAGGTGAACTGAGAGCTCCGAGCCCCTCTAGTGGGAGATAAACTGAGTGCTGGAGAAGCCACAGGTGTCCTGAAAGTAAGCAAGAAGAAAATAATGGCCATGTTAACAAGTTTAAAGGTCAAGGGCAGGTGGCCACTGAATGCAGAATCCACACGCACGCACTCAGCAACAGGCCTCAGTGGGTGCCGACAGGGAAAAGCGCGGACGCTGGAGGCAAGAGACCTGCAAATGGCCTTGAGAACAAAACCCCACTTGCTTCTTGGAAGCTTCTCTTGGAAAACCAAAACCTGACACCGGAAGAAGTGCAAGACACTCTTCCATCCCTTCCAGGGAACGGGCACACACCAAGGCATCTGATGCCGGAAAGGCCTGAGCTCACTCCCCTTCTTCTCCCCCTTGCCTTCCCCAGCATCGCACTCCCAGAGAAAAGTCTAGTGCTGGGGGAGGGTGGATAGAAGCCAGAGGATCCGCCCCGGGAGGCAGACAGCAGGCCCGGGCTCTGACTGACATCAAGGAGAGATCTGCTTCCCCTGGAAGGAAGGGCAAGAAGCTGGCTGCCGGCCCCACATCCCCCCCCACCCCCCATGTAGGGCAGAGTTTGCCTGCTGCTGGACAGAGGAAAAAGAACGCTGAGAAAGCCTCCCAGCTGGGCCTCAGGCACTCAGGGGCAGAGCCTGCGAGCGTCCTGGGCACACCAGGGACAGTGAGGAGTGCCCTCTCCCCCACCCCACTGCCAGCCTCACACGCAGTGACAGGGGTAGCGACGTTGCGGCGGGGACACCGACGAGCACCCTCCGGCACCCCAGGCCCGCACTGCGCAGGGGTGGCAGCAGGATTCTGACTTGGGTGCTGAACTGAAGGTCCCTTCAGCCACAGCAGCAGCACACAGCTCCAGTCCAATACAGAGTAGGCCGAATTCTGTGCCTCCCCACTCACTACTGGCCTCGCAGAAAAAGGTCAGTTTGCAGTTACAAATACTCTTTACCTCATTCTCTACTTTCTTTTTCAAGCAATGCCCAGGATTCATGAATAGAAATCATGAAACATACAAAACAGCAAGAAAAAAAAGTGCACTGTCAAGAGAATATTTAATCAGGAGAACCAGACCCAAAAGTTTAAGTCATCAGACAGTAACTTTAAAATAACCATGGTTAATATGTTAAAGAATTTAGTGGATAAATAAACACATATGTACTCAGATTAGAAATTTCAGCAGATAGAATGACATTATAAAAAACAATGAGTCAAATGGAAATCTAAATACTGTGTGAGATCTAAAGATTAGTAATATATCAATGTTAACTTCCTGATTTTAATGGTTTTACTGATGTTAAATAGAAGAACTTCCTTGTTTGTAGGAAATACACACTAAAAGCGTTAAAGAGAGGAAAACAAGTTCTTTGTATAATACTTGGAATATTAATTTTTAAAAAGTCTATGAATAAAAGCAACAATCATTATTGCTCTCTATGGAAACACCATGTAAGATCTTAGAATCATATAATCTGTAAGATAAAAAAGAACCTTTGGGTTCCAATCTAACAGGCATATTAAAAGACTATCTTTGGTTGTTAATCAAGGCTATCCAAGGAGTCACACATCTCTAAAACATCAAGCACACTTGACTGAAAGCACTAGCTTTTAAAACACAATCCGGAGCCTTCTGTGTAAGCTTGAGACAGAGTAGTTCAATGGGAGGAGATTCGTCCTGTTACAAGCAGGCTGTAAAAGGGGTAATGAGCAGATAAAGGGGAGTAGTGAAGAGGGCCAGGGTAGGAGACCTCAATTAAGTTGCAGCTTCCCTGAGATAATACAATCGAGAGTAAAATTTAACAGTGAGTCATAAAATAATTCCTTGAGTGCTTGCTTTGGCAGCACATATACAAAAATAATTCATTGATTAAAAACAAGAAAACTCTTAAGAAACTCTTGAGTCAATGCAAAATAAAACACACATTTAAACTGTTATATACAAATGGATAAGTTAATAATGTTGCAAACTTTTATTTTATTCTTTAGAAATTCCCCCTATCTTATTCATTAAAAACAAAAGTGATTTTATAGAATCTAACTGCATGCAGGGAAAAAAACTGTGATGAGACATTCGAACTTGATGTCAAGGAAACATTTCTCCTGTAGTACAGGTGAAATTAAAGACGCATGCCACCCTTGTCATTCCTTCCTGCCACGCTATAAACCCTACTCCAAGTCTCCGTAAGGAGGCGCAAGAGTTTCAGCACGGGAAGTAAATGACTGGATGAAAGCTGGTGGAAATGGAGAGGGGGGTGATCTTGGGAGGCTTCCTTCTAATATGCTTCGGTTCAAGGTTGGCTTCCTGTCCATCTTTTGTCTCCTCTGACAGCTGAAGAGATTAGCCTGTCTACTGCTCTTTACACTGCTACCAACCAGCAACACATTTTTCAAGGCAATCCTGTGCTGTTGGTGGATGTGGGGAATACAAAAGACTTAGGTAAGCTCCACCTATGCTTCAGAGGAAAATACCGTGCATATTTCATCACAAGACTTGGAACTTACACTCTGAGTAGCAGATGAAATGTGATCATGGCTCTAGCCATAACATCTGTTTTTCCTTCCCATCTCACTGCTGTCAGGTGCCATTACAGACCTCAGCCTCAGCTGGCCCCAGCCAAGAGAAAAAGCCTACTGAACAACCAATGAGTCAATACACACACACACACACACACACACACACACACACACACACAATACAATATTATTCAGCGATCAAAAAGGATGAAATCTTGCTATCTGCAACAACGCGGACGGAACTAGGATGTAGTATGCTAGGTGAATTAAGTCAGAGAAAGTTTATGACTTCACTCATATGTAGACTTCAAGAGCAAAACAGATGAACATAAGAGAAGGGAAGCAAAAATAAGATAAAAACAAAGAGGAAGACAAACCATAAGAGACTCTTAAATACAAAGAACAAACAGGGTTGCTGGTGGGGTGCTGAATGGGGGAATGGGCTAAATGGACAAGGGGCATTAAGGAGGACACTTGTTGGGATGAGCACTGGGTGTTATATGAAGGGGATGGATCACTAGATTCTATTCCTGAAATCATTATTACACTATATGTTAACTAACTTGGATTTAATTTAAAAAAAAATAATAATAATAGTAAAAAATTTTAAATTAAATTGAAAAAAGACTCCATCAAAAAACTATTAAAACTAATAAATTCAGTTAAATTGTAGGATCAGAAGCAATATACAGAAATCTGTTGTGTTTCTGTACACTAATAACAAACTATCAAAAAAAGAAAATAAGAAAACAATCTCTTTTATAAATACATGAAGAAGAATAAAATACCTAGCAATAAATTTAACCAAGGAGGTAAAAAGACCTATACCCTGAAAACTGTAAGATTTTAATGAAAGAAACTGAAGACACAAATAAATAGAATGATATCCCATACTCATGGCTTGGAAGAACTAATATTGTTAAAATGTCCATACCAGCCAAAGTAGTCTATAGATTCAATGCAATTACTATCAAAATTTCAATGGCATTTTCCACAGAAATAGAAAAAATAATCCCAAACATTTATATGAAACCAAAAAAGATCCTGAAGAGCCAATGCAATCATGAGAAAAAACAAAGCTGAGGGCATCATGTTCGCTGACTTCAAACTATATTACAAAGCCATAGTAATGAAAACAGTATGGTATTAAAATAAAAAGAGACACACAGATCAGTAGAACAGAACATAGAGCCCAGAAACGAACCTACACATATCTGGTCAATTAACTTTTGACAAAAGAGCCAAGAATACGCCATGATGAAAGAACAGTCTCTTCAATAAACAGTGTTTGGGAAAACTCGACGGTCACATTCAAAAGAATAAAACTAGATAGACTACTATCTTCTGCATACAAAAATTAGTTCAAAGTGGATTAAAGATTTGAATGTTAAGACCTGAAACCACAGAACTCCTAGAAGACTGACTAGGCAGTAATAAGCTCCCTGACATCAGACTTGGCAATGATCTTTTAAATCAGATTCCAAAATCAAAGGCAACAAAAATATACAAATGGGACTTTATCAAACTAAAAGCTCCTGTACAGCAAAAGAAACCATCAACAAAATGAAAAGGCAATGTACTGAATGGGAAAAGATATTTCCAGACAATATATCCGATAAGCAATTAATATGCAAAACACAAAATCATACAACTCGAAAAACAGCAAAAAAAAAAAAAAAAAAAAAAACCCACCCAAAAAACCAGAGGAAAAATGGACATAAAAAATGGACAGAGGATCTAAATAGCTGGCCAACGGGTACATGAAAAGATGCTCATCACTCATCATCAGGGAGATGCAACTCAAAATCACAACAAGATCTCACCTCACATCTGTTACAATAGTTATTATCAAAAAGTCAAGAAACAATAAGTGTTCACAAGGGTGCAGTGTGCTGTTGGTGTGAATGTAAGTTAGTGCAACCAGTATGAAGTATGGAGGATCCTCTGAAAGGTAAAAATAGAACTACCGTACCATCCAGCAACTTCACTTTGGGGTGTTTATCCAGAGAGAACAAAAACACTAATTCAAAAAGAGACCTGCACTCCCATGTTCAGCACAGTATTATTTATAATAGCCAAGATATAAAAACAAAGTGTCCACGAATGCAATGGATAAAGAAGATACTGTGTGTGTGTGTGTGTGTGTGTGTGTGTGTGTGTACACACACAATGGAATACTACCCACCTATTAAAAAGAATGATAACACCATTTGTGACAACGTGGATGGATCTTGAGGGCATTATGCTAAGTAAAATAAGTCAGAGAGAGAAAAATAAATCTCATATGATATTGCTTATATGTGGACTTTAAAAAAACAACAAACAAAAAACCAAGCTCACAGATACAGAGAACAGATTGGTGGTTGCCAGAGGCAGGAGGTAGGGGGTAGGAGGTGGGCAAAATGGCAAAAGTGGTCAAAAAATAGAAACTTTAGTTATAAAATAAATAAGTCATGATATACAGCGCAATGACTACAGTAATACTGTATTGTACATTTGAAAGTTGCTAAGAGAATAAATCTTAAAAGTTCTCATCACAAGAAAACAAAATTTCTATAACCATGTATGGTGATGTATTTTAACTAGACCTATTGGGGTGATCATTCCAAATATACACAAATATTAAATCACTATTGTTGTATGACTGAAACTAATGTTAATTACATCTCAATTTTTAGAAAGGAAGAAAACTATAAAGCGATATACAAACTGTTATTGCTATTATTATTTTTTTATGTCACAAAAGAAACACCAACTTTGGTTTTTACTCCAATTCATTCCATTAGATCAAAATGTTGTAGGGATCTTTCTCAAAAAAAAGAAATCCCTCAAAAACAAGGGGGAAAAAAGCAAGCGTTTAAAGGCCAAGGGCAGAAATAGGCTCACATTAAAAGGTTCACAGTAAATAGGCTCACAATAAAATGAAGTGTGAGAAGGAAGGAGCTCTCAGGCGGCCAGGGCAGTAGAGGAGAGGATACCCCGAAGCCATTCCGTCCCCACACAAGAGCTGTCCCAGAGGGCCTGCCGTTCGTGTGTAAGACACAAGATGGAAGTCCAGAATATGAAAATCTGAAACTGTTTCTTTCCTAAAGTTTATCCCCGTTTGATTTGCTAAGAAACCAGCATTCAAACAATAAAGACTTTAGTGTAAATTCTGGAGCAGTAAATTCATTTTTAAAGTGGTTTATAATGTCTTCACCAAACAGATGAAATTAAGTGTGGTAACTGTGGTTCTAGTATTGAAAGAATAAAGTACTTGGTAATATCTCAAATGGACTCAAAAGAATGTTTTTAAAAACTGAAACTGAATTTAATATTTTGAGATTGTGTATGTCTCTACATGTTTTTTTGTTTTTGTTTTGTTTCTTTAGAGAGAGAGCATGCGTGAGCAGGAAAGAGGGGAAGAGGAAGGGAGAAAGAGAGAGAGAAAAAGAGAATCTTAAGCAGGTGCAGAGCCCAGTGCTGAACTCAATCCCACAACCCTGGGATCATGACCTGAGCTGAAACCAAGAGTTGGACGCTCAACCGACTGAGCCACCCAGGCGCCCCGTCTCTATACTTTTAATATTTCTTTCCAATTACCTAACTCTAATTCAAGGAATTCAATTTACTTTTAGCTTTAGCTCTATAGAACAATCACTGAGATGGTCTAAGGTTACCCAAAGAAGCAATTGTCCCATCAGATCAATTTTTTGAGAAATAACAAATACAATAAAAAAATGCTTCTCTGAGGGAGTCTACACAGAATATTCCTGAGGTTCCTTCTTGCTTTCCAGAATATTAAAAAAAGAGAATTAAATAATTGTACTTATATAATAGCAAATCATCTGGCTGAAAGCAGAAAATTTCAGTGAATTCAATTACTGACAAAAACTAAGGTTCCCCACAGTGGCGATAAACATGAAGTCCAAATACTATTTAACTGTGTCACTCTTAAAGCAGACATGTGATCATACCACTCATTGTTGAGAAAGCATCTGTGGGTTATCACTCTAATCCAACATCTTCAAGGCCTTTTAGAGCCCGTATTCAGAGTATTAGTCAGATTTTTTTTCATTTTTGTCATATGGACAAATGGTGGCTCCCTAAATACACTTTACCACTTTTATGCTTCTGTTCATGTAACTGCCTCTAACTGGAATGCTTCCTGTCCAACATTTCCCTGTGGCAGAAGTAGCAACTTCAGAGCAGTTTAGCTCTTCCTCCCTCAACACCCCATATTCACCTGGACATCAACTCCTGTGCATTTTAAAACCGCCAAAACCTCTTAAATCACTCCCTCTTCCCATTGTTTGTTTCAAAACGCAGTCCCCTCATCTCCGGCCTACAGCACAGCAGTGCTCAGGGGGTCTGATGAGAGACACAAGCTCAGAGAAAGCAATCACAATGGCAATCTGTTGTCACTGTCCACCCAACCACTGTCCAGGGATGGGGAGCAAATTTTGAGCAGTATGGGTCCTGGGCTCAGGTCACACGGGTGACCCACATTTGTCTAACTCCAAAGTCCGTCCTCCTGGCCTACGCTACAACTTGTACCACCAATATGTCCCTGCTAAGCTACATCTGTGATTTGCAAATGCTGGCTGCAGTCTACTAATGAGTAATGAAATCGTTTGGTGAATTACGGGTATTTTTCTCTTTTGAATAAGAAAGAATAGAAAATAGAACAGATCCCGTACAGAAAGTACATACACTTCTCATGAAACAGTATATACACATGTGTGTGTGTATGGGGCATTTCTTACTAGGAATAATGGTAAAAAATTTTGATGGCCTAAAATTGTCTTGTAAATGTTTTGTAAATGTTAGCTATTCTGATTGCAGAGCATCTTTCTCTAACATTTGGAAGACACTAAAATACATTGTTAGTATCTTGATCATTATTAAGTTCAACTTAACACACCTACTATGTTCAGAGTCCCTAGCATTTTCAATACGTCAAAAGACATGTCTGCAAACCTGCTGAAAACCTTACTTTTGACCTGAGTCCTCAACCTGGGACAAACGCACCACAGAGCACGGGTCACAGGAGGACAGGCCTCAGAGCCTGATACCTGAGACTGTAATCTGGCTCGTCTTCCGAGCTTCCTAGTGAGTCGTGGACAAATGACAACCTTTCTGTTCCTCAATTTCCTCACAGGAAAACTGCAAAATGGAGATATGTTGACTCTAATGATTCTAGGTTTTAAGAGAATTAATGTATATATTGAGCATTCAACAGTGCACGGTATACCAAATGCTCAAAGAGACTTAATAAGAATGTATGTAGTATTAAGATGATGACACCCTGGCCTAATAAGCATGTCACTGGTACTCTCTGCTAATAGCAGCCTTATCCTTCTGTGAAACATATTTCCTCGGGTATCTATTTCAAAATCTGTGCTTCCTTCTGTGTCTTTCTGTGAAACCATTTTGAAACTTAACATGAAATAGAAAGCACATCTTTGGTACACACCTACTGAATTTTTGTAGAGTCCTTAGGCAAAAATGATGAACCAATGATATAAAAATTGGAAGAGAAAAACACCAAGTCCTTGATAACGGGCCACAGAAGGGCAATTTTCATGATGGCCAAACCAAGAACCACCAGTGATTACATGTAAAACATCACAATCTCTCAAACGATAAAGAAAAGAATGACTATCCTGGAGAGAAACTTGTCGCTAGCTCGTTTATTCAAGAGACATAATAACCTCTGAAATCCATCAAACAGAAAATGGGTAAATTCTGGTATACAGATTATATTTAATATTATTAGTTAATAGTCATTTTCAAAAAAAATCTATACTAGGAAAGTCAAACTTACTTTGAACAAGATGGAATTCAACACTAAATAATTAGAGCATTTTTGAAATAGGTTTCTAAACAGTTTTAATTCGTTTCTTATTCTCAGATGTCTCACGTATGCACTTTCATATTCTAGGTTAGCTAACAGCCTACACTGTTGTATGGCTCTTTAATAAAAATTAATGTGTTGGGCAAAAAAAAAAATCATTTTAAACAAGACATGTATATACCCAAGGCATGCAGACGGATAAAAGGAAGCAGGGAAATACCCCTTCTACTTTTCAGCACCGATCAATGAAACGGAACGATGATACAGTCGCAGTGTCACACATGTGAACACAGCAAAGTCGTCTCGCTCACCGTGCCAGACTGCCGCGTGTCCGTCCCAAAGGGTCGCCACCGTCTTCCTTGCCCCGTCCCATAAATTATGAGAGTAGGCTTCTTTTAATACATTCTTCCTCTTATAAATGTGTAAGAAAATAATAGTAAGATAGAGAAGAAAGATAGTAAAGTACGGAAGTATTAAAAGTATGAGTGGTGTAAAAACCCACAAGAGATAGTTTGCAAAATTCAAGTAGTCCTCCAAGTGCTCTAGGCCAAACCACTCTTCCAGCACGTGAATCAGACAAGTCAGATAGGGCAGAGAATCCTGTCCTATACCGCAGGTTTGATTTTTGTCTATCATTTTTCTTTAGGTGAAAATGACAAATTCAGTCTCTTTCTTCATTGCCATCGTAGGTCTTTAATTTCGTCTCTAGAAGGGAAAAATAATCCAATGTTATTCTCTTCGCCGCTGAGAAGTTTAGTTTCACTTTACATAAATACACAGAATCATTTCTTTTTTTTTTTTTAATGTTTGTTTATTTTTGAGAGAGAGAGAACCCGCTCCCAGGGCGAGGGGCAGAGAAAAAGGAAGACACTGAATCCAAAGCAGCATCTGGCTCTGAACTGTCAGTCAGCGCAGAGCCCAACGTGGGGCTCAAAACCACAAACTGTGAGATAATGACCTGAGCTGAAGTCAAGCACTTAACCGACTGAGCCACCCAGGCATCCCTAAAGAATCATTTCTTAATACCAAAAAGGAGTAGATTGTTAATGGTTAACTTTGTTGCAGATTTAAATGTGAAAATTATAAGGTTTCATTTGCATGCTCATGAAGCATGTCAGGTTTAGCTTCTGAAATAACTCACAACCTATAATTGAGAAGAAAAATAAACCTGATGAAGAATGAAATTTCGGATTGATCTTAACAATCTGACTTACATCTTAAGTGGCTCTTACTGGATGTTTGTGTCTTAAACTAGGTTATACTGAGATAACTGTTCTTCACAAAAGAAAGCATCAATATTTGATTCAATAAAAGTAACCCAATTCTTTAGGAAATGATGACATACATTTGTGTGTACTGTCCTTTACAAGCAGGTTTACAAAAAATTTCTCTATTCTTCTGACATTATGCAATAATAAAAATTTATCAGTGTCATTTTTATCTCATAGTCACTAAAATTTCTCTTAACATCTTCAATGACTGAAACTATAGGCATACACTTTTATGTCACTTATCTCTGAACCAGTCATTCAACTTACCAGAAATTAGGTAAATATCTTGTCCCAAGCTTCAGTGTACGTGTTCTGGAAAACACAGTATACAAATAAAAGAAAAATATGATTTTAAAAAAGATCATCATTAATATCTAGAGTTAGAATTTCCATAAAATAAATAGCAAGAGACATTCACATATGTGTGACAAATATTACAACCCCACTCTAGTGGATTACAGTTAAATTATACTCCTGTTATCAATGCTTTAGGGAGGACAGTGTTATACACTTATTTCCACTATATAAAGCCCCACCTGAGACTTTTTAAAAATTCAGAGCAAGGGGCACCTGGATGGCTCCGTGGGTTAAGCATTGGACTTAGGCTCAGGTTACAATCTTGCAATTTGTGAGTTGGAGCCCCATGTCGGGCTCTGTGCTGACAACTCAGAGCCTGGAGCCTGCTTCAGATTCTCTGTCTCCTTCTCTCTCTGCCCCTCCCCCACTCATACTGTCTGTCTGTCTGTCTCTCTCTCTCTCTCAAAAATAAATAAGCATTAAAACAAATTCAGAGCTATAAAACATTTTGCTTCTCTGGAGAAAAAGTATGAAGGTAAAATGTATAACAGACCAGTCTCTTTTTAATAACTTTGCCAAATTATAAATTGATGGTCAAATATGATAGTCAATGATATAACTATATTAGCTCTTATGATCATGTTCTCTACACAAGATTTCCTTCTTTCATTCCTATTTTCTTTGGTTCTGATTCTATTCTAAGAGATATTTTGTCTAATGCATACTCCATAATCTTTACAAGAATCATCTCAAACCCTTCGTAGATGAGACAGGAGTAGTAAAGAAAGGGGTGGAGGGACAGGTAGAGACAGATGTACAACAGCAGTTATATGTTGTCTTTATGCCAAGATGACCTTGCCGGCTGACTTATGAGCAGGGCATTAGCAGGGCAGGCATGCTGACTTGGTCTTCCAGGGATGGGGGATTTAGTCTAATTTCCTCGTAACCAACGACACTTACTTGTAAGAAATGTGGGCCTGCTATGATAAGAGAAGGTAAACTTAGCACACGTCAAGCCCACAAGCTGGGCTTTATTTTTTTCACTGAAGTATAGTTGACACACAACACTGGATTAGTTTCAGGTACTCAACACAGTGATTCGAAAACTGTTATGTTGTGCTGTGCTCACCACCAGTGTAGCTGCCACTTGTTACATACAATGATGTGGGCTTAATTACATCATATTCTCATCAACCCATCTAAACACCTGAACCCCTATAATGTACAGGATTTGGTCATTTAGAAGGCGATATAAACATAGCAAAGCTTACCACTTCTTAAAATGAGAGCATTCCCCTACTAAGATGGCTAGAGTCACAAAAATGGAAAGTTAAGTGTTGATGATGTGGAGAAATTAGTACTTCATATGTTGCTGGTGGGAATGTAAAATGGTGCAGCCACTGTGGAAATAAATCAGTTTGGCAGTTTCTCAAAAAGCTATACATAGAGTTATCTTATGACCCAGCAATCCTACTCCTAGGAATGTATTCCAGAAAACTGAAAACATACATCCACACAAAAATTCGTATATGGATGGTGACGGCAGAATTACTCCTAATGGCCAAAAAGTGGAAACAATACAAATGTCATCAACTGATGAATGGATAAACGAAATGTGCTACACCGAACAACAGAGTATTATTCTGTCATAGAAAGGAAAGAGGTACTGGTTCATGTTACAACAGGCACGAACCTTAAAAACATACAAGGTAAAAAAAAAAAAAAAAAAAGAAGTCAGACAGTAAAGGCTGCCTTTTATATGATTCCATTTACGTGAGCTACCCATCCAGAACAGGCTAAGCAGTGGAGACAGAAAGGTAAGTGGCTGCCAGGGGCTGGAGGGGGCAATGAGAAGTGACCGCTAATGGAAATGGAAGTGTCTTTTGGGAATAATGAAAAGGTTCCAGAATCAGATAGCAGTGATGGCTGTACAACCTTGTGAATATCCTAAAAACCATGAAGTTGTACATTTCAAGATGGTCAATGTGATGCTGACTTACACCTCCACAAAAAGAGCTCTTAAATACTGTTAATAAATTAAAAGTTATGATGGCCTCTGAAATATGTTAAAAGGAGCTTTTCCTAGGCCTAAAAACCAATCATTTTGATGATCTGACCCCACTAAACTAGTCTCATTTCCGATTTTAACAGGATCATAAAATCCTGTGATTTTAAAACCTTCTTCAGTACCTCTCCCCACTCAAAATTGGTAATAGAACTATACCTCTTGTGCTCAATTACATTTTTATGTATCACACATACTTAACACATGCAGTGCAGTGAAGAGGGGCAGGGCACAAGCGCCCGTCTTCATCACAGCCCCTGAACAGCGCCCCCATGCTGCAGGACAGAACCTCCTCCAAAATGGTTGTCCTCGATTTTGATTTAAACCCTTTCAGAACAGAAAACTCAAAAGTTGTCCGATTCCATCTTCAAAACCATCCATCAAACTGCAAAAGATCTTCCATACACTTAACCCACTGTAACTTTTCTCTACTGGACCTAGTTCTACACCACACACCTCTTCCAGTAGACACAGCACAGCTATGATTAAGCTGTGAAATCCCATTTTCTGGTCAGAATCCTTAATGCTTTTGGGGCGCCTGCGTGGCTCAGTTACACGTCCAACTCTTGATTTGGGCTCAGGTCATGATCTCATAGTTCTTAAGACTGAGCCCCGCATCAAGCCCCTGCACCATCAGCACACAGCCTGCTTGGGATTCTCTGTCTCCCAGTCTCTCTGCACCCCCTGCCCCACTTATGCACTCTCTCTCACTCAAAAATAAAAATAAAAATTAAAAAAAAAAAAAAAAAGTTCTTTCAACCACTCCTCGGACCCTAGTTTCATAACCTCTCACCACTCAGGTCACTCCCCGTGACTGACTCCAGTTTGATATTGAGAGGACCAAGTACAGTACAGTAAGCCACCCGTGCCTCAACTTGCTAAATTCTGTAGAACTAGGATACAGTCATATACACACTACGCCGCATGACGCTAGGTGCCATGGAGACAGACATACAGCAGGGTAACAGGAACACGGAGATCTACAGCAGGCAACAGAGTAGGAGGGGGTTGCGATGTTATAATGCAGTAGCCCAAAAAGGACCCCTGAAAGGTACATGTGAGCAGAGACCTGGGAAGTGAGGAAGCAAACGATGTGGGAAATGTGGAGGAGAATTCCTGGCTAAAATGAAAGTAGATGCAAAGGATGTGTACTTGGTACGGTGTAAGGAGCCGCAAGGCAGCAGGCCGAGAAGAGTGACAGGAGAGCAGTCAGAAACGGGCAGAGGTAGCACCGTGGAGCTCCGTAGGCCGGCTTTAACCCAGAGTGAGATGGAGCAGGCACCAGAAGAGACAGGCTGCCCGACTCGGGCTTTAAATGACCACCGTGTTGAGAATACACTGCGCAGGGAGCAAATCAGAAGTTAAGGCAATAGCTGAAATGATGAAAATGGCTCGGACAAGGGTGACAGAGTGAGGTCTATAAGGGACCATCAGTTTCTGGATATAGAGTGAAGATAAAGCCACTGAACTGCTGATGGATGGATGTAGAATGTGAGTGAAAGGGAGAAGTAGGGAAGGACTATGTGCTATTCTGGCAATGTGGGCTTGTATTCCTGGACACTCTGCCACTTACTGTGTGCCCAAGGCAGACCCAAGACTGCTATGGTCACCACTGTTATTAACCTGTTTGAGAAAAGATGGAGTGACAGGAAGAACAGGTTTAGGAGTGGTGTCGAGATCAGGAATTGAATTTACAGCATGTTAAGATTCTGGCAGGCATCCAAGTGAAGACCGTCAACAGGCAGCTGGACACAGAGGTTAGCGGGAAGATGAGGATTAGAGAAATATATCCGGGAATTGGCAACATATGGGCTGTATGATAACCACGAAACTAAACAAAGATCCTTCTAGGGAGGAAATCTAGAATAAAAAAGAGTCTCCACAACTGAGCCTTGGGGCCCTCAACATTTTAGAAGTTGGGGAGGGCATATAAACCATGAGGAACCAGAACTCTCCTTCCACGAGTGGCACCCTGCATGTCAAAGGAAGGAAGTGGGCAAGAAGGAGTATTCAGCCGTTTCAAATGATACTGAGAGGTCTAAGAAATAATCACCGAGCACTGTGTTTACAACACAGAGACACTGACAAACCCTGATAATCAGGAACTATCTCGATATGGTGGGGATCAAAGTCAGGTGGAGTAAATTCATGAAAAAATGAAAGGCAATGAATTGGAAACAGCAAATATGGACAACTCTTCAGAGAAATGCTAACACAAAAAGGAACACAATAATAGGTGAGTATCTGGGGGGAATGTGGGTCTAAGATGAAAGAAAACAGCAGGCTTTAATACCAATGGTAATGGATCAATGGGAGAGTAAGAAACAGATGATGCAGGAGAGGAATAGTTATTGGGACCAGTCCTTGACTAGACCACAGGGGATAAATACAGCGGATAAGAAAGTGGATGGCCCAAAGAAGGCTATGTCATTAGGCTAGTAATTCATCTACTCAACATATACTTACTAAGCAAGTAGTTTGTGCTCCACACTATTCTAAACACTTGAGGATACATCAGTAAACAAAATCATATGAGAAAATCAAGGCACCTGGGTGGCTCAGTTGGTTAAGCGTCTGACTTTGGCTCAGGTCATGATCTCACAGCTCATGGGTTCGAGCCCCATGTCGGGCTCTGTGCTGACAGCTCGGAGCCTGAAGCCTGCTTCGGATTCCTTGTCTCCCTCTCTCTCTGCCCCTCCCCTGCTCATGCACTCTCTCTTCTCCAAAAATAAATAAGCATTAAAAAATCATACGAGAAAACATATGTAAAGCACCTTGGCCCATAGTAGGCCAACAAATACCAAACTAACAAATACCAGCTAAAGATAGACCTTAACTATATTCATTCAAATCTGTGACAAAAACTGTGGACCAAGACAGCGCTAAAACCTGCCATGAGAGAACTGCCACGAGGAGACGGAGTAACAAGTTTTGAGCCGATAAAATACTTACCTTTGATAATAAGAGAAAATGGCTTTAGAACTCACTGAATGCAAGCTCTTAATTTTGCAGAAACCAGTTAAAAAGAGAAATCCAAGTTCACTTGCCCAAAGTTACTAAATTAATTCAATGAAGAACCAAGGGCCAAAATTAAAATCCAGCTCCCCTACTTCCTACTCTGGCTTTCATTCTCTGTGATTTCACTACGCTATTACCTTTGTCCCTGTCTCTCTGTCCCTCTCTCTTACAGAAAGCTGAAGATTGCACTTTATGTCTTCCCTCTACTTCTGCCTGGCCCTTGTCTCCCCCCCCCCCAATTTACCATAGACTTATATTTCACTCCTTACCACTTTATCTTGATCCAATTAAGAACTATAATTGTTAAAAGACATTTTGGGGGAGATGCAGCATTTTAATTACCAAAATAACAGGTTATTTCCAAACAAAAAAAAAAATCTACAATCAAACACAGTCCTGTGCATCACATATTAAAAAACAATCATAATGTTGACATTGGTAGTGAAGAACAAGGACTGTAACTGACTTTATACATTTTAAAATAAGAATATTTCAAAAACTAATAAATCAGAACAGAGGATTTCTTGTTTTCTGTAAAAACCTAAGGAAATAAGTCTATTTAAAAATTTGGGCGGGGGGGAATGCAAACTAGTACAGCCGCTCTGGAAAACAGTATGGAGGTACCTCAAAACATTAAAAATAGAACTGCCCTACAACTCAGCAATTATACTACTAGGTATTTATCCAAGGGATACAGGTGTGCTGTTTCAAAGGGCACATGCACCCCATATTTACAGCGGCGCTATTGACAATAGCCAAAGTATGGAAGGAGCCCAAATGTCCATCGATGGATGAATGGATAAAGATGTACTATTATATATACAATGGAGTATTACTCTGCGATCAAAATGAATGAAATCTTGCCATGTGCAACTATGTGGAAGAACTAGAGGGTATTATGCTAAGTGAAATTAGTCAGTCAGAGAAAGTCAAATATCATATGAGGACTTTTAGATACTAAACATAATGGAAGGGAAGCAAAATTAATATAAAAATAGGGAGGGGGACAAAACAGGAGACTCTTAAATATGGAGAATTGAGGGTTGCTGGAGGGGATGTGGAGGGGGGACAGGCTAAATGGGTGAGGGGCTTAAGGAATCTACTGCTGAAATCATTGTTGCACCATTTGCTAACTAACTCAGATATACATTTTAAAAAATAAATTACAGAAAGTTAAAAAAAATTTTTTTAAAGTTTTTATTTTATTTTCGAGAGAGAGAGAGACAGAGCATGAGCAGAGGAGCGTCAGAGAGAGAGGGAGATACAGAATCCGAAGCAGGCTCCAGGCTCTGAGCTAACTGTCAGCACAGAGCCTGACACGGGGCTCGAATCCACAGACCGCATGATCATGCCCTGAGCCAAAGTCAGACGCTTAACCGACTGAGCAAACCCAGGCGCCCGGAATAAACCTATTTTTTATACACCCATTATCAGTACGTTTAGCACCATGGATGGCAGCAGATCTATTTCTTAATTTCAGTATATAAGCCACATTGAGGATCCACTGAAAATGCCAATTAAACACTCACTGAAATAAAATTTTTCCCTTTTCCTTTCTGAATTTTTAATAATTGTTTAACAAGGGGTTAGGACTCAGTTCTAGTGGATAAGCATTCGACTTCAAACCATCAGTAAAACTTAAGTTTATCTAATATCTCAGTTAAAACATGTAGCAAGCCTAGTCACTTTATCTTTAAAACAATACCTTTTAAGGGGCACCAGGGCTGCTCAGTTCATTTAAGTGTCCAACTTCGGCTCAGGTCATGATCTCACCATTTGTGGGTTTGAGTCCAGCATCAAGCTGTGTGCAGACGTTTTGGAGCTTGGAGCTGCTTTTGATTCTGTCTCCCGCTGTCTCTGCCCCTCCCCCCAAGCTCGCTCGCTCCCCTCTCTCTCTCAAAAATGAACATTAAAAAAATAAAAAATAAATAAATAATTTTAAAAAGTACCCTTTAGATCTCAAGTTTCAAACTCTAGGTTCTGATATGAACTACCTTCCAAGGTTTGGGATTTTTTTTTTTTCAAACCCTAGAATGTCCTTCGATTTCTAGCTAGAATCTTGCATTCTGACAATTACTGTTCTATTTTTTTTTTTTCTTAACCTATCCTCACCCGCAAATGTTGCACATCCATCCTGGGGTATCTGTTACTGTGCAGCACTCTTAATGAGCCTATCTCGCACTCCAAAGTAAGGCAGCAGTAAGGATGTGGAAATAAACATTTCATTTGAAAATTAACCTATTTCTTTTTTATTTTTATTTCTAGGAGAGAGAGAGACAGCGTGAGCAGGGGAGGGTCAGAGAGAGAGGGAGTCACAGACTGAAACAGGCTCCAGGCTCTGAGCTGGCAGTCAGCACAGAGCCCGACGCGGGGCTCGAACCCACGAACCTCGAGATCATGACCTAAGCGAAAGTCGGACGTTTAACCTACTAAGCCACCCAGGCGCCCCGAAAATTAACTTATTTCTATCCAACAGCAAATGCGACCATACTATCAAGGACTGTCTTAAACATCCGGGTTTTATCTCGGTGTTCCCACATTCTAAAGAGACAACGATGCCATTTCAGCATTAACAGCACAACCAAGTCCTGAAATGCTCCAGCCACCTGCAAGTCTGAACTTGCGTCTTTAAGGAGGCTCCCTGGGCAGGCTCAACGACTACCACCCGCCAAACACTCACTGCCGGCTTCGAATCCAGCAGCGGCGATCCAGTTTTCGGCCTCCTGCTTAGGTGCACATGCATTTTTCGTACGCACCAGCAGCCTGAGGACTGAGATGTGGCTCCACCGGTGCCAACCCCAGGGCCCAACGCAGAGCCTGCGCGTAAAGCCGGTACCCACTCAAAGTATTAATAGCACGGGAGCGATCTGATACGCAGCTTCACTTGGTTCCTCCAGCGGCGCGAGGAGGCGGGTACTGTTCACCGTTCCTGTTTGACAGATGCTCGCAAGGAGGCTCAGAAGGGTTAGGTCGCTCGCCCGGATCACACGGGCAGCAAAGGGGCATCAAACCAGGATTCCAAGGCTGACTCGTCTGCAAGCCCTGCTTAGCCACTTACTCCCGCGGCCTCTCGCGTATATACGCCCGGGATCCCCCCACAAGGCTCGATTCGGATCCCGGAACCGGAGAGGTCACCGGGCGAGCCCCGAGGCCTGCAGTGAGGTTCTGACACCTCGCCCCGCCGCCCAAGTTGAGACGAAACGAGGTTTTTAAGCGCGAGGTCGGGGGAGGGAGGGGGCCGGATGCGCGGCGGAGTGAAAGGGCTCGTTGTGACCCAGGCGGGGCCACCCCTCCCCGCCACCCGGTGCCCGAGCGGACACCGAGCCCGGCGGGAAGCCCGCCCGCCCCCGCCGGGGACTCCGGGGCTGCCTCACCGAGACTGGACTCGCGGTCCTGGCTGCTCGGAGCCCCGCGACACCGACGCGGAGCCGTGCGCCGGGCAGGGAGAACGAGACGAGCACCGACGCGGCTCCGGCGGGGGCGGCAGAGGCGGCTCGCCCTCACCCTCGAGCCGCGGCGGGAGCCCTTCGGTGGCTCCGCGACCGAGGGAAGGGGGAAAATTCCAGCGGCCGGTGTCCCTCCCCCTCCGAGAGCAACCTGTGAAGAAAAAGACGAACGTCGGCTGCAGCCCGGACCGCGTTGAGCGTGACACCGCCTGTCGCCCCGCCCCTTCCGGGTCCGCCCGGCGCCACTTCCGGCGGCGGCCCCTCGGCTGGCTCCAGGCTCGAGCAGCCCCGGGCCCGTTCCTAAACCCGTGACGTGCCCCTGGGGCGCGCCGGCGAGACCTCCTTTCGGGGTCCGAGAGCCGAGCAGAGGCGGGGGAGGCTGGTCGCGTGTCGTTGGGCGCGGGGCTTCCTGCTCCGCGGTGGGAACATGTGCTGCGAGAAGTGGGGCCGCGTGGCCGAAATGTTTCTCTTCATTGAAGACCTGGAGGAGGATTCTAAGATCCTGTGCCTGTGCTCCAGGGCCTTCGTGGAGTAAGTAAAAACGCGGTCCCCTTCATTCCTGGCACACTTCTTCCCCAGAAGTGGATTGATCTCCGAGGCGTGGCCGAAGCCGGAAACCCTTGGGCCAGGTGGTTTCTGGAAAGAAAAGTCCTAAGAGTTCACGCAGAGGTCGCCCGTGGCCGTTAAGTGGAGTAAATCGACTTTGTAGGCTGCTGTGAAAAAATGTGGCAGCTGGTTTGTTTCGTTTGCATACACAGGGGACATTTAAAAATCGGGGAAGTGAAATGTAAAGTCCCCTTAATGGATGTGACAGCTCGGGTTGAAGACTAAGAGGAGTACGTTTTGTGGGTTACCCTTGGTTAAAACCTTGAGATTTATTCAAGCGCATCTGTGCGCGTACACAGAGCTTCCGATTACCCGAGATAAAAGGTTGAACTAGAATTCCATCCGTTTTTGTGCTACCCTTTTGGAAAATGTTTGGGGTAAGCGTTGCCCGACTTGGAAGATAGCCGGTGGGTGGGAAACAACGAACTAACGAATCGGATTATAGGGATGGCTGTCTTCCTATTACTGTGTGAGTTAAGCCACTTCAGTCATTGTTTTCATCCCTAAAACAGGAATGTGTACCCCGGTGATCTCGCGGGTTTATTGTCAGATTCAACTTGCGGAAGTACATTTTATGTATTATACTTTTAATGTAGTAGAATAATGCAGTTTGAAGAAATTCTTACTGTTTCTGTGTTTGGGGGGAGTAATCGGAAAATTAGCCCAAAAGGAAGTTCAACACGATGTTTAGTTTTTAAAATGTTGCCATCTTTGCATACATGCCTGCATGTACACATGTTTTCTGTGGTTCTTTCTGTTAGGTACCCTGGGAGGCACTGGGGTATAAGCCACAGCCTGGCCCTACACACTATGAGCTTACTCTCTAGCAATAGTAAGACAACTGTTACATGATTATTTAGGAAATTACAGTTGTAAATGCTACCGGAGAGAAGTACACGGGGCTATGAGAGCAAAAACCTAATCTTTCTTCAAAGATCACAGAGATTTCTTTGCAGAGTAGCATTTGAAAAGAGGTATAAAAAGTGGAAATAAATTGGAGTATGTTTGAGGGACAGGGAGAGGGAGGGATGAGCAGAACTCTGTAAAAAGCAGAAGATCTTAACCCAGATCTACATAGTTAGTTCTTAGCCTGTGGCCAGATTGAGTCTTGGGGCTATCTTCATGAAGCTTCCTTTCCAAAACAAAGAGAAAGGGAATGCGAGTTATAAACTGTAAAAAGTTGATGGGGCACCTGGGTGCCCCAGTCAGTTAAGCATTTGACTTCAGCTCAGGCCATGATCTCACATTTGGCAAGTTCAGGCCCCCAAGACTGGCTTTGTGCTGACTGACACAGCTCAGAGCCTGGAGCCTACTTTGGATTCTGTGTCTCCCTCCGTTGCTGCCCCTCCCTCACTCATGTTCTGTGCGTCTCTCTCAAAAATAAATAATAAACATTAAAAAGAGTTTTAAAAAATGCAAAAAGTTGAGAAAAATTGTCATGCCATACCCCTACAAAACACTATTGCTACTAGATTGCAATTAAAGCAACTTTATTTAAAACACAATTTAGGGGATGCTTGGGTGGCTCAGTCCAAGTCATGATCTCATGATCATGGGATGGAACCTGATGGGCTGGTGATGGGCTGGCGCTGAGCATGGAAACTGCTTAAGATTTTCTCTCTCTCCTTCCGGCCCTCCCCCTCTTCCCCACTGGTACACACGAACACACACTCTCTCTCTCTCAAAATAAAAATAAATTAATAATAAATAAATAAAACAATTTAATTGCCATATAAATCACTAATTACTTTGAATTTAGTCTTTTTGGACCAAAATGTTCACTTTTTAAAATTTTATATAATTTCATACATATTAAAACTTGGAAGCTCTACTTTGCTCTTAGAAGTTACATTCTGAGGTCAAAATAGGTAAAGAGAAAAGACCGGCTTCTTCCTTTAGATCATTTAATGCTCAGACAAATTATAACCCCTTAGAACAAAAAGAGCTTGGAAATATGATCTTGAAATTATTTCCGGTAGAAGTCCTTAGGACTTGGAGACATGCTGGAAGTTCAGAGGCTTAATAGTGTGACCTTGACTTTCCAGGGAGGAAAAAGGTCTGTTTCACAATCTTAAAACAACAGATTGTTAGCAAAATTCTAGAATCGATTATTAAACTGAGCAAACAGTACCATACATTGGAGCAGAAATAGAAGATGAACATTAGCATAGGTGCCTAATACCTGAGAATCAGCATTGAGTTGATTCTCATACTAAGCAAGATTATTGTACACCTCTCCTAGAAGGCAGGAAATAGAACCTAATACTGTAATTAATTTTTATTTTCTGAGGACATTATATTAACATACTGTCGGGTGCCTTGTGGCTCAGTCAGTTGAGCATCTGACTTTGCCTCATGTCAAGATCTCGCAGTTCGTGAGTTTGAGCCCCGCACGAGGCTCTGTGCTGACAGCTCAGAGCCCGGAACCTGCTTGGAATTCTGTCTCCCTTGCTCTCTGCCCCTCCCCTGCTCGTACTCTGTCTCTATCAAAAATAAATAAAATAAACATTAAAAAGTTAACATACTGTTTTATGAGCTCTAGAGTAATAATTCTGTTTCATCTGCATATTCAGGAATCCATACATTATATATATGAAAAAGACACAATCACATGAATGGTGCTCTATAAAATAATCATCACAATGGCTCAGTAGTAACATGAAAAAATACCTTATGTTAATAAACATCTGAATACAACACATCTATACTATAATTACACTTATGTAAATATATACTATAATTACACTTATGTAAATATTTTGTGTTTATATGTACAGAGTCTAGAATAGAATATAGTAAAATGCTAAAATGATGGGAGTAGATTTTTGTCACAAAAATAATTATTATTTAATTCTTTTTGTAGTAAATCATTTTTTTCTTGAATAAGATTTATTTATTCCTTATATATATCTGATGCTATTCATTCTTATAAAGTCTATGCTTTTCTTTTTTTATTTTATTATTATTTTTGAAATTTAAATCCAAGTTAACATATAGTGTAATAATGACTTCAGGAACAGAATTTAGTGATTCATCACTTTCATATAACATCCCAGTGCTCATCCCAACAAGGGTCCTTCTTAATACCCCTTGCCCATTTAGCCCATTCCCCTACCCAGCACCCCTCCAGCAACCCTCAGTTTGTTCTCTGTGTTTAAGACTCTTGTATGGTTTGTCTCCCTCTCTGTTTTATGTTATTTTTGCTTCCCTTTTGTTCATCTGTTTAAAGACTTAAAGTCCACATATGACTGAAGTCATATGATATTAGTCTTTGACTTATTTCACTTAGTATAATATACTTTAGTTCCATCCACATTGTTGCAGATGGCAAGATTTCATTCTTTTTGATTGCCAGGTAATAGTCCGTTTGTGTGTGTGTGTGTGCGCGCGCGTATACATATATATATCTCCACACTTCTGTGTGTATATATGTCTATATACTTGTGTGTGTGTATATATACATATATATATGTATATACACATATATACCACATCTTTATCCATTCATCCATCGATGGATATCTTGGCTCTTTCTGTACTTTGGCTATTGTTGCTAACGCTGCTATAAACATTGGGGTGCATGTGTCCCTTTGAAACAACACTCCTGTATCCTTTGGATAAATATTTAGTGCAGTTGCTGGGCCATAGGGTAGTTCTGTTTTTAATTTTTTGAGGAATCTCCATACTGTTTTCCAGAGTGGCTGCACCAGTTTGCATTCCCACCGGCAGTGCAAGAGGGTTCCTCTTTCTCCACATCCTCACCAACATCTGTTGTTGTCTGAGTTGTTAATGTTAGCCATTCTGTAAGGTGGTATCTCAGTATGGTTTTGATTTATATTCTCCTGATGATGAGTACAGTTGAGCATTTTTTCATGTGTCTGTTAGCCATCTGGATGTCTTTGGACAAGTGTCTGTTCTTGTCTTTTGCCCATTTCTTCACTGGATTATTTGTTTTTTGGGTGTTGATTTTGATAAGTTCTTTATAGAGTTTACATACTAACCCTTTGTCTGATATTTCATTTGCAAATACCTTCTCATTCTGTTGGTTGCCTTTTAGTTTTGCTGATTGTTTCCTTCGCTGTGCAGAAGTTTTTTATCTTGATGAGGTCCCAATAGTTCATTTTTGCTTTTGTTTCCCTTGTCTCTGGAGATGTGTCAAGAAGTTGCTCTAGCTGAGGTCAAAGAAGTTGATGCCTGTTTTCTCCTGTAGGATTTTGATGGCTTCCTGTCTTACATTTAGGTCTTTCATCCATTTTAAGCTTTATTTTTGTGTATGGTGTAAGAAAGTGGCCTAGGTTCATTCTTCTGCATGTCACTGTCCAGTTTTCCCAGCACCATTTGCTGAAGACACTATCTTTCCTGCTTTGTCAGAGATTAGTTGGCCATTTAGTAAACCATTTTAAAATAATTTCAAACTTAAAAGGATAGGTCAGAGAACTATATTCCCTGCTAGCCAGATAAACCAGGTCTCAATAGTTAACTACAGTTTGCTCCATCTCTCCCTCTGCAGCCCCAGAGACACATGCCCATGCCCCCTTTCTGATGCACAGTTCCAGCATAATTCCTCTTATGTTTACTTATGACTTGTCAGTCTCCTCCTGTGGAAAAATTCTTCACCCTTTCTGTCCCTTTCGTGGCCTCAACATTTTAAAAAGTGCAGACCTTACCTTCTCCTGTAGGCCGACCTTGCTTACCCTGGGTCTGTCTGATAGTTCAGCAGAGCTGGGGTTGTGCCTCCTGGGCAGGAACGCCACAGAAATGATCCTGTGCTGAGCCCTGCATCACGTCAGCGGTGACCTTCTGTAGATCCAGGCCACCACTGGTAACATTAACCTCCATTGCCTACTCAGACTGGAGTCTTCCAGCTTTCTCTGCTATAAAGTCATAGTGATTCCCTTTGTATTAATTGGTGTGCTGTGGGGAAGTACCCATGCCGTTTCTGCCCAAATCCCCTACCTCTTGAGGATTGCCAAAGGGTGACTCTCTGTCTCTATCATTCTACTTGTATTAGTTGGTATTCTGTATGGAGCACTTTCCCTTCTCTCCCATGTGCTTACATTAACATGAACTCTGGCTTCTTTGTTTATTATTTAAGTTATATTTTATTACTGCCATTTATTTTGATGTTCCTGTTGCCTCAGCTTTAGCAGGTGGGGGCCTCTTGAGGTGGCTTGTATATCATTTTGATGTGTTCCTGACATTGTTAGACCTCCTCCTAACCTCTGGCACAGAAGGTGACTCCAGCTTATCTTGTATAAGCTTGTTATCCATGCTTCAACCTATAACTGCCATTTTTGAAGGTACCTTGGTTCCTTTTAGCAGAGTGTAGTGTTTAGAAACCAAGACTTGGGTGTTCATTGTGTTCATTGCTCCTGGGCTTTCATTTCCTCTATACTCTCTCAGCAGATAGAGTCAGGCAGGACATGTCTGTGTTGTATATATGGACATAAATACGTGTAAGTGTGTAGGAATATCTTGGCTGTCATTATCCTCAATACATTTACTTATTTGCTCAGTGTAACCAATCTTGCAGTCATCTTTTTAGCCATTACCTCCACCTGACGGGGCACCTAGTGCCACATTACCTCGAGTGCTGACGGGCACATGGTTGGTGCCCTCGGTGCAGCTGCTGCTCTCCCCCAGCCCCAGCCCCCTCGCCACTGTCCAGGGTTCTTGGGGCCCAGTGGGCGCTGTGCCAGAGAACATTGGCGTGTGTGCCGTCCTGCAATGAGTCATCGCCTACTTTTTCTTTTATAAAGTATCAAAAAATAAGCAGGAGGATAGTGAAGTATATTGTGTATACAAGAACTTTATTTGGTTGACTTTATTGTGGCTCTGTTGGAAAAAGAGTAGTAGGAATTACTTGAAGATGGCTTTATTCTGGTAGTTCTGATGGAGCTTATTACAGTTGGATTTAATGGTAGGAAGACCAATGCAAAATTCTCTCCTTATTTGAAGTGTCGTGTTAAAATCTTAGCAGATAGAAAACAAATCTAGAAGCAGGTATGTAAAGAAAGGTTTAATTAATCACTGTTGTTAAAAATTGTTGGGACTGGGGCACTGGCCAGCTCAGGCCGTGGGGCATGCAGCTCCTGACCTTGGGATTCTGAGTTTGAGCCCCACGTTAGGCATCGAGCTTTCTTAAATAATTATTTAATTAAAAATTGTTGAGACTGAATTGTTTTGCTTTGACTTATGTTTTGGTTTGATAAAATATTTAAATAAGAACTTCATTGTATGTTAGTCCCAAAACAACCTTTGCTTGGACTGTGACTCTCTTGTCTACTAGGCAATGATAACTTGTCCTGTTTGTAAATGGAGTAGGGTCTACATGTGGATTTATATATGTGTAAGATAAAATCTTTATATCTCATACACGTATAAATCCCCCTCCCCTTTTTTTTTTAAGTGTTTATTTTTGAGAGAGCAAGAGACAGAGCATGAGAGGGCGAGGGCATAGAGAGAGACACACAAGAATCCTAAGCAGTCTCCTGGCTCTGAGCTGTCAGGACAGAACTGATGTGGGGATCAAACCCATGAGCCATGAGATGTGACCTGAGCCAAAGTTGGACACTTAACTGGCTGAGCCCCCCAGTGCCCCTAAATCCTTCCACTTTTATGCTCACGTCTTACAGCAAGTTTAGAGAACACTTCCTCGTTCATATATTGTAAGATCAATTCTTCCCCCAATACCAGAATTACCCTTTTATTATATTAGTAATAATTATAAATGCTTCCATGTGATATATATTACCTGTCTTACATATATCATCCTTATAATGACCTCATGAGGTACATATTTTTTCCTCTGTATTACAGATGAAGAAAATATATTAGCAGATTGCTTTTCTGTTCCTTAACATTTTAAATTAATCTATGCCACCTTGAACTTGTTTTCTTCTCAGCTTTATAATTTATTTCAATATTGACTTTAATTTTCTTCGCAGAGATCGAAAATTGTGCAATTTGGGATTAAAAGGCTACTATGTCAAAGGCAATGGTGACAATGCAGGTAATACAGCATAAAACCGTATGGTCCCTTTTTGCTCGAAATAACTATAATATTGATTTTAAATGTAATTTGTTATAATACCATATTGATGTGTTGCATAATATATTACAAACGACAAGCCAGTAATTACAGTCCTTATTTTTTATTATAACATGGTTCTAGAATCCTTATCGAAGCCCATCTTTTCATTTCCTGCGGCTGGCTCCTCTGTGGACCTAAAGAGCTCCTCTTTTGCTCTATGTCGCATTCCTTCCTGAGCTGTTGCCCTTAGATAAGAGCAACCTGAAATTTGAAGCTTTGGAAAGTAGAGAGCATATGTTTTCTTTTTCCAGCAAAATTGTATTGTGTTGAAAGATCCACAGAGGCACATTAAGATTGTCAAGAGTTTATTTGAGCACGCATCTCTCCAAGTCAGCCAGTGCCAGCTCCCTGGATAGGAGCACCCCTCCAGAGCAGGAGTTCAGGGAGGGCTTCTTACAGAGAAGATGTAGGAGCAGAGCAAGGAAATTATTTGATTTGACTGTGGCTTAATCAGTGGCCTCATTTGGGGAAGCCTGCTGGCTATTTGTGATTGGTTGTTTTTAAGTTTTATTTTCTTAGATTTGAGTGCTTTGATTCTAGCTTGGGCTTTTGGTTTGCTTACTTAGACAACAATGGCCTTAGAGCCACTTCCGTCTAATGACTTCCTTGTTTATATTCTTTAACAATTGTATAAATAAATTATTCAGGATAAACGCCAAGCGAACATCCACAGTCTTCTGACTGAAGTAAAGGGCCCATCGTCTGGGTTAACTTTCCCAGATAACAAATAGAATTTGTTCTATTCTTTGAGTCTTGCCTAGTTCCCTGGAAAGCATCTTGCTCTCCCTCTGCCTCCCCTCTGAGACCACGTTTGTTCTTTCCACACAGATCTTTTTTGTTTCTTTAGATACAGTTGAGCAAGAGTTCTAGGCTAAAGTCAGCACAAGTAAAATGTGTCATGTTCCCTTTTAAAAGTCCTTTAACTCTCACAATGATGGAACAAGTCACTGTGTCTTCAGTTGATCGCTAGGTAATGTGTTTGCTTTGTGTTTCAATGTAATGTACAAATAAGGTTTCTTTAGGCACCAGGCTCCTGCGAAATGTAAAATATGCATACCATGGGGCACCTGGGTGGCTCATGATCTCGTGCTTGTGACATTGGCCCCCGTGTCAGCATGGAGCCTGCTCGGGATTCTCTCCCTCTCTCCCTCTACCCCTTTCCCCTGCTTGTGTACACTCTCCCTCCCTCTCAGTCTCTCAAAATAAATAAACAAATAATACACATACCATGAAAGGAACATAAAACTTAGCACATTTGTTTTTCCTGTTTGCTCTCTCTTGAACTTTAATTGAATGGAATGGTAAGTGGAATCTCCCTTATTATTTAGGCAGAGATGTTTTTTCCCCTCTTTGTTTTAGTAGAATTTGTACACAAAAGATTTCTTTATAGTCTCCATTTTTGCTTTGTAAGATTCGCTGTTCTGTTGCCTAGAGCCATTTAGCTGGAGTGCTGCTCAGCCCTAATTGAGTTTGCAAATATATCCAGTGATATTTATCTCACATTTCCAGTGGCTAATGGAGCATTTGAATGGCATTTGTCCTTCTAAGGATATGATATACTGTTATCTAACTGTATTCGTATAAAGCAAAACTTACTTTATTGTAATAAGCCAGGTTTTTTGGAAGACCTAGAATCAAGGAGTTTGAAAGGATCTTCCGGTTCAGTAGATTTCAGACTTTTAATACTAGAACGCTTTCATTAAATCATCTCTCCCAGAGAGTCACAGAATACAAATTCTAGTTGTGATCAAAGCACCCTCGAGGTGCCTGAAGACATACCTTTCACCTCTCTTATTACCAGCTCCTAAAATAACTCCACAAATCATCATTTGAAATTCACTGATGGTTTAGCCATATTGCATGTAGCGATATACACGTCCACGTCCCCCTTACCTCCTCAGTGCTTTGCCCAGTGCAAAGTGCTCTGCCTAGCACAGAGGAGGTGCTTAGTAAGTGTAACTTGCATGGGAAGCTGGTAGCAGGCAGGCAGACTAGAAGTCGTCTCTGGATTCCTATTTGGCTGTTTTTTACTAGTCTATAACTCCTTAAAAATAGTAACGTTTGCATAATTCTGGATCTCAGTCTCCTCTTTGAAATGAGGATGATAAAACTTACAGCTCATTTTCTCTAAAACGAAGCTAACAAATGCTGTCTGTAGGAGACCAAGCCACAGAAGAGGAGGAAGGTGGCACTACAGAGTCACAGGACAGCAAAGGCTTAGGCCTGGATGAAAGTGAACTTGATTCTGAGGCTGAACTCATGAGAAGTATGGGACTACCACTTCAGTTTGGTGGTGTATCTGCACATAAGAATTTTGAGGTGAGTAGGGGTGCCTGAGTGCCTCGGTCGGTTAAATGTCTGACTCTCGATTTCAGCTCAGGTTGTGATATTGCAGTTCGTGAGTTCAGCCCCTGTGTCAGTCTCTGTGCTAGCAGTGCGGAGCCCGCTTGGGATCCCGTGTCTTTCTCTGCCTTTCCCCAGCTTGTGCACACAGGCGTGTGTGCTCTGTCTCTCTCTCTCCTCTCTCTCCTCCTCCCTCCCCTTCCCACCCCCTCCCAAAATCAACTTTAAAAATAAATAAATAAATTTTTTTTTTTAAATTTACATAAATATAAGTTACTTTTATTTCTGTCTCTTCATTTTCTTCATAAAATACGACATGGAATTATTTTATCTCAAATCTAACACATTCATAAATTAAGGCACTCCACCTCCTTGTAAATGTACATATTTATAAATTAACCAAAACTAAAAGTTTTGATGTGTGTCTGTGTTTGATTTTTCCTCCTTGTGTAAACATAGATAGTAAAATTAACTTGTGGGTGTAACTAAAGCCCAAGATGGAGGTTTGAGGATATATTATTTAGTTTAATGGTAAAATAGACTTGGATTCTACTTTCTCTTACAGTTTATGAGGTGCATTTTGTATTCAAGTTATTTCTCTTACGTAGGTGTCTATGAATACTAGAAATAAAGTTAAAATCAAAAAGAAAAAGAAAAAACACCAAAAGAGGTACTTAGATGAAATTATCAGAGAATCTTGGAGACAAGAATATGAAGAAGATGACATTTTGGCCTCAGACAATCCGTGTTCAGTTGAACAGTATGAGAATACCAAAACATGTAAACTTCAAACCAAAAAAGACATTGAAACTGAAAATCTTCCTGTTGAAACTACATTATGTCCAAAGCTAGAAATTACAGAGAAATGGGAAAAATATTGGAATGAATATGGTGGAGTACTGTTATGGCAAAGCTGGCAAGAAAAACATTCAGGTCAGACGCTGTGCTCTGAACCTTGGAACATTCCTGATACAAAAGAGGAATGGGACCAACATTACAATCAACTTTATTGGTATTATTTGGAACAGTTTCAGTATTGGGAAGCTCAGGGTTGGACTTTTGAGGCCTCAGAAACCTGTGATACAGAGACTTGTGGGCCTAAAATAGTTGACAACGAGAAAGGTGAAAATTGCATAAAAGCGGACTTGACGTCTTTTCCATCTTCATCTATTACAATTGATAGTGAAAGCTCTAGTTCAAGTGATAAAGAGCATAAAGAAATACTTGATGGGATTAGTAATATAAGTCTGAATTCAGAGGAGGTGGAACAGAGCCCGTTAGAGTCTTCAGTGAGTTGCGATGGATGTCAGTTGCCAAGTGAAGTCGGCAGCAGCAGAGAATGCCCTGCTTCTGGCCAGAGTGAACCATGTCACAGAGGAACCAAGGACAACAGTGCCTCTGGGAATGGAGGCACAGACCAACCAGCTCAGGGTAAGACTGGCCAAGATTTATGCTACTACACAGCAGTTAGGAAAATGAACCTACTGAGCAAAATAATGAACACTAATCCTTTATGGTAGAGTTACACAATGCCAGCTACATTTTATAGTATAATATGACTTAATCCATATGTCACAAGTTGTTCGTTACCCTTTCATATAAATCAGAAGAATATTTGCAAAGGGTTCTCAAAAGTATCATTCCTTCTACTTGTACCTTGGCGGCGCATCAGTTAAAACTTGGAATTCCCTTGGGGCGCCTGGGTGGCTCAGTCTGTTAAGTATCAGGCTTCGGCTCAGGTCATGATCTCACAGTCTGTGAATTTGAGCCCCACGTCAGGCTCTGTGCTGACAGCTCAGAGCCTGGAGCCTGTTTTGGATTCTGTGTGTGTCTCTCTCTCTAACCCTCCCCCACTCGTGCTCTGTCTCTCTTGCTCTCAAAAATAGATAAAACAAAAACAAAAAGCCTTTAACTCCCTTGAGAAATTTAGAGTGGGCATGAACTTCCAAGTGTCTGTGAAGCAAATGTACATATAAGAGGCATGTTAGAGAATGGTTCCGAGTACACAATGGATATCAGGCAAATCTGATTCCGAGTCCTATCTGGAAACTTATTTTGGAATAAATGAAGTCTTTCTCTGTAGGGAATCTCAACGGGACATGATATTAATTTATATCTGGAAGAGTTGACTTCAGGATTCTCATTAAATATCCAGGATAAGGAACTTAGCTGACTCCAGGCTAAGTGATTGAAAACATAAACAAAATCTATCATGCAAATTGGTGTCTAAAGAACTAGAGAAAGATGAAAGAAAGCCAGTGAGAGGTATGTGAAGTCAGAGGTGGTTAAGAATACTCTTGCTGGCAGGCGCCTGGGTGGCTTAGTCAGTTAAGCGTCCGACTTTCGCTTAGGTCATGATCTCACGGTTCGTGGGTTCGAGCCCCGCGTCGGGCTCTGTGCTGACTGCCAGCTCAGAGCCTGGAGCCTATTTCAGAGTCTGTGTCTCCCTCTCTCTCTGACCCTCCCCTGCTCACACTGTCTCCCTCTCTCTCCTAGAAATAAATAAAAATAGTAAAAAAAAAAGAATGCTCTTGCTGGGGAGAAAGAGTCTAACTGATGGCAACAGGAAAATGCAAGTGGAGGAAATCTTTATAACTTCAGAATTTCCTTAGTGGCTAAGATGCCCTCTTGGCATCCTTGATGTTTGGTGCTAGAAAAGTCTACTTTATAACATAGGGCTTTCTTCTCGGTCTCATTCCCGTGTGAAGCAAAAGGTTTTGGCATTTATTTGCTTTGTTCCTTGGATTGCTGATCTTCATCTAGCTGAGAGTTTCCTTTAGAGAGTTACTAAAGGACCCTACCTTACTTTTTAATGTCTTTTTTCTCTGTGCTCTTCCAATGGAGCTTACCTAAGTATTCTCATTCCTTTCTATTTTGGTGTTATTTTCATCCCTTTTTTAATATGATGATTTTATGTTAGTCTTTTGACACTCCTCTGTACTCTCTCAATAACTTTCTGTGCTGATTTTGACCATGTACCAGATTTTGAATCTGTATATTGGCCAGCGTATTGGCCCCGTCTTACTACTTCGTGTTCCTCCTCTGATCATCCTCCCTAATCTTCCTGTATGTTCCCTTTGTCAAACACAGTCAGCCTCCTAGTCTCTGTCTTCTGTTGTCTGTTTCCTAATTTACATTTATAGATTGGCCATTTCTGTTGCCTTTTCCCTTAATTGTATAATTGGCCATTTCTTTAATTAGTCCCAGGGTGAGTGCCATCAGGATCAGTCTGAGAATTCTAGGTTTTAGTTTGTTTTGGACCCTCCCTTGAGATCACAACACAATTTATATATATTGCATGTTTTCTACATAAGTATATATGTTTTCTGCTGCTTGTGGTTGCTTATTCTGAAATAGTCCGTGCCTACACAGAGTATCCCGTTGTCTACACTGCAGACACCTCTCCACTTCTAGTCCCACCTATTCACTTTGTGCCAGTCTGAAGAAACAAGGAACAAAGACAGGCCCATCAATTGGAGCTGCTACAAGTTTAAAAGTAGTCTTTTTAAATGATGGCGCTTGCCTTTCTGTTAACTTCCAGTGTTAATTTAAGGGCTATGTTAGAGACAAATGTATTTGTTTCTTAATGAAGAGAAATCATTTTCAGTCATTGTATTACACTGTCTTTAAAGTAGTCATTTAAGTTAAAATTCAGTCAAAATGTGATAGCTTTCACAAAAGTAACTGTGGATTAATTTGTGTAGATTTGGACAGTTATGAGGAAAAACTAGTTTTCGTTTGCTTTTTAAGTAGTCAGATCACAGAAACTTTAATAATAGATCGGCCTGACCACAGTTTTATGCTCAGACTCTGCATGTAGATACACAGAATAGGCAGATGCGGCCTGGCGCTGTGCCTGACGTGCACATACGGTTCATTGCAAGAAAGGCAGTGAGATATTTTGATAGCCTTTGTCAGAGGCAGAAGAATTGTCAAAGCAAAGAGCACAATCCACCGCCATATCTCGGCCTCTTTAGATGCTCAGGACTCTTCAGAAGCAAACACAATTAAAGAAAGACCACACCCCAACCGAGCTGACGGAGACGAGAGTGAGGAAGAGCCACCTGAACAGAAGCCCAGCAAACTCAAGAGGAGGCAAGTAACACATCCCCTCTCTATCCACGGTGTGGTAGCAGGAGCACTTGTGGCCGCGAGGGGGTGGCTGGAAAGCGCGTGCTACGTCACAGTACTGCTGGTCCTGTGAGGGGAAAGATGTGACGTACTAGCCTTGGATCACGGTCAGATCCCAGCTCGCCTTCTGCCGCCAGTTTTTGTCTATAAAACGCAACCAGCACTTCTTCTAATGAGATCATTAGGAGGACTGAGCTGGCATGTAATATATCTGACGGTAGTGCCAGGAGACGACGGCTTTTCGTAATATGTCAGTAGATACGACATATGAAGGAAGTTCTGATTTTTTTCAAAAGTCTAAGTCTGTGTTATCACAGAATGTTACTGCTAAAAACCACAAGTATCTAATCCAGTGCTCTTAAGCTGTAGATGGGAATGTGAGGACAGAATGAGAAGAGCTTTGCCCAAAGTTACACAGCAAAGCAGTGGCAGTCCCAAGGCTAATGCCCAGACCAACCCTTCTCTTCCCGAGGCAGTGCTCTGCCAGCACACGACTGATATGTAGGATTAAAGGGGCAGGTGAAATAGGCAGGATACGGTCACATGCTAATTCTGTAAAATACAAGGACAGTATGGACATTACAGAACCTCTGACGTTACCTACAAACACTATTTTTCTGACAGGCTATGAAGTGTTCCACATAGGACTTTTATGTTCCATACAGCTTGTAGAAAAGCAGTAGGCAGACTTCGGAGGCCCGGTGACCTCCTACTTTCATAAGAGCATCCTCCATTGTGTTCCTTCTGCACTGTACACGGTGCTTGATAATTTCTCCATTGGTGTCTAGAGGCAGAGAGACTGTGTATACTTACACTTCTGGGACATAGTAGGTCCACCATAAATGTTCAGTGAGCTTAACTTCATTTGTAAGAATTACTTCTCACCATTTTCTCTTACTTAGTAATGTCACCCAGGTAGTGGGGGTCACTAAGGTATCCCCAGTAAGTCAGTGATCATGGGTTACTTAATAACACTTGTATCACAACCTTATTCTTCATATATTTTTCTTTGTAAGTTTTTTGGTTGGATTGATACTTCTTAGATGTTTCCTTCATTTTTAAGGAAAACTTCTAAAGATACTATTCTAGGAGATTAGTTTAAGGCTATAGCCTTTACAGGTGTTTTTCCAGATGCAAATAGAGAGATCTGTATTCGTCCCATGTTCAGGAGTATAGAGAATTACTTGACAAAGTTTAGGATTTCGTTGCTTATTGCTGTGTTCCACATACTGCTGGGTACTTTATCTTATTTGGAAAATCTGAGTAAAGTACTCATTCCTGTCTTCCTGGATCTGGGAGTGGAGCTGTGGTTGACTGTTGTGATTAGAAAGTGTGTATAGGTTGACTCTGTGTACCTTTTGGTATTTTCATTAACTGGCCATAACCCTGGACATAATGGTTTATCACTGTTTACCTTTTGTTTGTTTAGCCACGAGCTGGACATCGATGAAAACGCAGACTCAGACTTTGATGACAGTGGTTCCCTTCTGGGATTCAAGCATGGCTCGGGACAAAAGTAATTATAAATAAATACCGTCGTTTTCCCAAAGTTGTAACACTTCAGCTGTCTCAGAGTTCTCTGGTGTTCATCAGATAGCCAATGATGGTTATAGATTTGATAGCAATTGAGGTATTATAGTTAAAGCACTAACCTTTCTTGTGGAGAGATCACCACTCATTTGCTATATTCACATATGTCGTTTACTCAGTTGCATTTCCATACGATCCAGTATCGTTAAAATTTCATAGATAGAGCAGTGACTTGGTCACGATCATAGTATTTCTTAGAGAGGGTTCAGGCCGAGGTTTTGAGACTTCAAGCAACCCTGACTTACTGGTACACACACATTTATCTAATCCTTATGTGTTTAATTGATTACCCTGTATGTACTTCTAGATTGTTCTAAGATCTAGACATATGCCTTTGAGGTTCCCCACAAGTTATTATGTGTGCCAATAGTTCATTCCTTCATACTGCTGAGTAGTATCCTATTGGGTGGATGTACCGTAGTTTCTTTAACCGTTCATCTTTTAAAAGACAGTTGGACTGTGTATGGTATTTTCCTGTTACAAATAAACTGCTATGAACATTTGCATACAGAAGGTGTATGTTTTCTCTGGGTTAAATGCCCAAGTATTAAGTATAAGAAAACTGAAGGGTTTATTGCATATACCGTGAAAACCAAACTGAGTATTTAAGGCACACTAAAGACCTTCCATTTATGTCAACGTGCACCAGTGATTTACACCAAGATTAAGGTGTTTGATGTTTCTAAGGGTTGAGACTTACTTTGTTAGTTGTGAAATTTTAACTGATCCCTACATATTACACAGTCAGCAAGAAAAGAACATAGATCTCAAAGTTGACTTATAAATTGAATCCAAATTAGTTAAGAATAACATGTTCATAATACTACACATATATTTTTTAATTGTCAATTATATCTCCCTTATGGTACTTAAAGGCAGTTGCCATTCATATAATCATTTAAGGCTAAAGATCACAAAGATTAGTAATAAAAATATTTTCTCGATAGTGCCATGTTTAAATTCCTGGCAGAATTTATTTCTACCCACATGTAATTTTAGTGAGAAATTACTGGAGTGGCTGTTGCTAGTATACCTCCCTGGAGATTTACTCTGTTACCTGGGATTTGACCTAACTATTCTTCTATTTAGGATTCATAGTTGTACTTAGAAGAAAAGGATAAGGGGCGCCTGAGCGGCCCAGTTGATTAAGTGTCCAACTCTTGATTTTGGCTCGGGTCATGATCTCATGGTCATGAGATTGTGTTGGGCTCCACGCTGGGCATGGAGCTTGCTTAAGGTTCTCTCTCTTGCTCTGCCCTTCTTCTGCTCTTGTGTTCCCACTCTCAAAAAAAAAAGAAAAAGATGGATTTTTTAAATAAAGTTTATAATATGACTAGAAGATAACAGGTGATATTTAACACTAAACTGTTCAAGAGTTTGTAAGTGCTAAATTGTATATTATACTTTAGGTTTCTAATAGTCTGTGGGAGAGGTACTTAAATAAGGCTTGATAGAGTCATAGAAGTCTTTGTAACAGATCTGTATGTTTTAAGGCAAGAAAAACTCAGATGGTTAGATCAGAAGATATTTTCTAATTATTTTGTTAATAGGGGTTTGCTTCTTTGGTAAGCTCAGATTAATTTAGATTAAGAAGTCAGTAACCACTTTTTTTTAATTTAAAAAAAATTTTAATGTTTTTTATTTATTTCTGAGAGAGAGAGAGACAGTGTGAACAGAGGAGAGTCAGAGAGAGAGGAAGATACAGAATCTGAAGCAGGCTCCAGGCTCTGAGCTGTCAGCACAGAGCCCGAAGCAGGGCTTAAACCTACAAACCATGAGATCATGACCTGAGCCAAAGTCGGACGCTTAACTGACTGAGCCACCCAGGCACCCCTAGTGACCACTTTTAAAATAATTGAAGTCCAAATATGTATGTTATTAAAGAGCTTCGGTATCATCTCACCATGAGCAAAGATGATATTTCCCTGATGTACAATGGGGTTATTACATATTTTTGTGCAATTTCTTTATTATGTTTTACTATGTAATATCTGCTTTCTGCAGTGTATAACGTATATTGATATTCCCAACTGAAGTTTCACATTTACTTAAAATTAACATACAACTGAGATCTTAAATATCTGTGCATTGGAACTTTATTTCATACTTTTGTAATTTAGAAAAGTGAAATTAAAATGGTGGCTGGTAATTGAAAAATAGTGAAAATTGCCAGTTTTATTCTCTTTTCATATAAGGAAACAAATTCATAAATCTTCAGGTTTGAGTCCTCTTCCTTTGGTTTGGTCACAGATACGGTGGGATTTCAAATTTCAGTCGGCGGCGGGTCAGATACCTGCAGAAGAATGTGAAGTATAAGTCAAAGTTCCTGGACATGAGAAGACAAATAAATATGAAAAACAAACACATCTTCTTTACTGAAGAGTCAGAAAAAACAGTTTTCAAGAAAAGCAAAGCTTTGACTAAGGTATGTATAAATTTTGTTTTATATTTACAGATAGAATCCCATTTTGTGAGCTTGACTCAAATTGTATTCAAATGGAAATCCTGTTTCTACCAGATATGAGTGCCTAAAATTCTTTTCCCCTTGCTTCCTAAAGGCATATATCACATGAACTAAATTTGAAAAAGAGTAAGTTGGTATTTAGTAACATGAAAGGAAGATGTTTTGAAAACTATAAAGTATTTGGGAAGATAGATAAAATTGCCTTGTAAACATAGTAACAGTGAGCATTTCTCATTTGCCCCAAGGATCAGAAAGGAAGGATCCTGGAAGTCAATTTCTAGTACAGCGTTTATTGTAAGTCTTAATTATGAGGTCATCCAGAGGCGATCAATTAAACGTTACACTAACCAGTTCCTCCTAATGGCCTCATACGAATTTAGTGATTTACACTGTTAACTGAAATATTCATGTCCCTTCTCTTGGACCCTGCTATACCTGCTTTCCAAGCACCTAAAAACAAAAGTAATTAGAATAGTTTTTGCTTGGTTTGATGAGTGATACTTTTCCATTATAGGGAGCGGGGAAAAAACACCTTCTCATGAGCAAAACGTTTGTATCATTGTTATCAGTCACTTCTTCAGCAACTCCTCTGGGCAACAGAACAAAAGCTCAGATCCTGTAATGACTTTGTTTTACCCTTAAGTTACATTATCCTTCCTGACTTCAGCATCCTTCCAAAACGTGCAACAGATTTATAGCTGCCTTCGTGTTTTCCTTTTCATTTTAGATCAGTTGGTTGCTAGTGATATTTTAATATGTCAGTGGCCCTGGTTATGCCTGGAGCACATTTCCCACTTTAGGTCAGTCAGTCCTGTGGAACTTTTTACTTGTTGGAGGTGATTGTCCCTGTACATCCATCTGTAGACTGTACATCCGTCTGTAGACAAAGAGCAGAAACATACCGGCTATGTATTACCGAGGAAAAAAGAAACATGGCTCTTGTGTCCTTAGTTATCTGACTGATATATAGGCACAGTCCCCATGAAGAGTCTGGGTTTGTCTATGCTCATCTTCCAATTTCCTAACTCTTAGGAGGGTCATGAAGGTCTGTTAGGAAGGATATTCTTGTAGGGACACCTGGGTAGCTCAGTTGGTTAAGTGTCTGACTCTTGGTTTTGACTCAGGTCATGATCTCCTGATTTGTGGGTTTGAGCCCAATGCACTGCACTGACAGTGCAGAACCTGCTTGGGAGTCTCTCTATCCCTCTCTCTGCCCCTCCCCCCTCTCTAAATAAATAAGCTTAAAATTTTTTTTCTGTTTTTTTTTTTTTTTTTAAATTTTTTAAATGTTTTATTTATTTCTGAGAGACAGCGTGAGCAGGGGAGGGTCAGAGAGAGAGGGAGACACAGAATCTGAAGCAGCTCCAGGCTCTGAGCTGTCAGCACAGAGTCCAATGCGGGGCTCGAACCCACGAACCGTAAGATCATCACCTGAGCCAAAGTCAGACACTTAACCAACTGAGCCACCCAGGCGCCCCTAAAAATTTTTTTTTGAATAGCATATTCTTGTTACAAAAGTTTGTAAGGGAGTTACCTAATCTTGTTCATTTCTAAGAAATCTAGGTTTTTAGGAATCCTTTTACAGGCCCTACTCCGTTAAAGGGCAACTTGCATTCTAAGATAGCACTGCTCTTTTTCTTCAGATGGGCACTAAATCTTTTTAGAGTCTGTCTTTGATGCTGAGTACAATTTAATATAAATCGTAGACTCAGCCATTGAAGATAGGTCCGTGTGGTTTGAAAAGCTAGTATTAGTGACAACAGTAAGTAGGCATGTTTGTAACGGTAACACCGCATAGTCTGGTTATATTGTCAACAGCCTCCATGGAAAGCTACCAGGACTTCAGCTTTATCCTCTCAGTGCTAATTCATTACAGGAAAGTCATCACCTTGTGTTTAATCTGATATTTTCTTCCTTTTAAAGAGATCTTTAATAAGGTCATGGTACGTCCAGTTATGAAGATGGTGCAGTTAGCTCAGAATTACTTTTGCATAATTAGCTTGTATGATACAGCGCACTTATTGGAGCTAATAATTATGACAGCTTCTCAGGGAAGTCCAAATGGGAAAAGCAGGTTGGACTGTTCTGGGCATTTTGGAATTAATTCATGCTTGTGATGACTTACAATTTCAGGTAGAAAAGTTCCTAAAGTGGGTTAGTGAACCAGTGAATGAGGAAGCGCCACAGGAGGCAGCATCTCAGGACAGTGTACAAGACACGTGCACAAGCAGTGATTCAGAGGAACAGGAACCGTCTGTTAAAACAGGTGGTGACCTGCTGGCGACAAGCCAGCAAGGACCTGAAAAGTGTCAGGCTGTATGTGCAGCCGGGGAACCTGAAACAGCAAACAATGAAGGAGACAGCACAGTGACGGCTCTTACAGATGAGGAAGACTGTGCCACTCGGATTACACCAGACTCTCTTCAGGCAGACGCTGCAGGTAAGACCAGATATGCTTCCACTCGCTGATGCACTTAGGTAACGTGCTTCCCTAGCTGTCAGTTATTAGTCATCTAAACCTAAGGATTCACTCTTATTTTATTTTGAGGTGGGGGGAGAGCATGCGTGCACACGCAGGAGGGGCAGAACGTGAATGTGGGGCTCAATCCTGCAACCTTAGGATCATGACCTGAGCCGACGTCAAGAGCCAGACATGCAACCAACTGAGCCACCCAGGCTCCTCTCACTACTATTGATTTTAAGTGGAAAGAAGGCATAGGAAGTGCAGTGTGCCGGTGGCTGTGATTTGGGGCCAGAACACCACACCCATGGCTGAGCAAGCGCGGTCACTCCAAGGGCTGCGCGTGGGAAGGCGAAGTGTCTCTGTTCCGCTGACACAGGTCACTACCGCTGCCCTCTTCCCCTGGGCGAAAAGTGACTTTTATCCCTCTCGAAATTTGGGATTGCCCTGCTTTTCCTTCTCATAATTCTTTTTATTTCAGGGCCTCTGGGTGGCTCGGTCAGTTAAGCGTCCGACTTCGGCTCAGGTCATGATCTATCTCACAGTTCATGCATTCGAGCCCTGTGTTGGGCTCTGTGCTGACAACTCAGACCCTGGAACCTGCTTCAGATTCTGTGTCTCCTTCTCTCTTTCTCTGCCCCTCCCCTGCTCACACTTTGTCTCTTGCTCTCTCAAAAATAAATAAAACATTTTAAAAAATAAGAAAAAAAAGTCCATCTCTGAATGAATGAGATCCTTTTCTATTAACAGTAAAGCAGTGACCTGTTTTAATTTCCTGTAGGTCATAGGACGTTCAGGTCATGTCTGGGGTCACAGGATTGACCGAGCTTAAAGTTAGAATTCAATCAGTCTGGGAGATGTTATTTTAAAGAAGGGAAGAACAATGTTGGGATCTCTATAACTGACCGCATAAAGTAGTGCTTTATCTAACAGAAGTAGTAACTTTTATACCTATAGAGTATCTCTACACATCCCCTAACAATCTTGTGAAGTAAGTAGATAAAATGCTACTCATTCATTCCTTTCAAGGAATTAAAAATTAGAGCTTCGTGAGCCGAGGCTTCTGTCCTGAGCTCAGGGAGCTTATATGATAAGCAGTGAAATAGAGGCTGTAACGTAAAGTCTGTGCTGTTTGCCTCGTGCCCTCCTGCTTCTCCGGGGCTGCCGTTGCATGCGGGTCTGGAGCGCACTCCCAACTGTAAGTGTTCAGTGTGGCTGTACTTTTAGATAACTTCATCTGTGATTCTTTGTTTCATAGTGAGCATCTGTTTTTTTAATATTCTTTTATTTTAGCTCAAAGTAAAAAGAAGAAGAAGAAGAGGAACAAAAGGGCGATTGGCCTGCCTCCCGAAATAGCTGCCGTTCCTGAGCTGGCAAAATACTGGGCCCAGAGATACAGGCTCTTCTCCCGTTTTGATGATGGGATCAAACTGGACAGAGGTAAAATATATGTGATTTTTTTTGGACACTGTTTTGAAATAATTTCAGACTTACAGAAAAGTGACAGGAAGAGTAAAAAAAAAATTCATAATGTCCTTTATCCAGATCTGACTATTGGTTAACATTTTGTCACATTGCTCTATCATTTTGTCTGTGTGTGTGTTTCTGAGCTGATTGCTCCACTCCTTAATCCTGCATGTGTTTTGTAAGAGCAAGGATACCTCCTTACGTAACGATGATAAAACTGTAAGTTTAACCTTTCTCCAATACTCTATTCTGCAGTCGAGACTCTAGTTTCATCTGTTGCCAGAATCGTGTCTTTTATGGCATTTTTTTCCTTCCATTTGAGGATCATATATTGCATTTCGTTTTCATGTTTTTTTAGTTCCCTTTCATCTGGAATAGTTCTCAGGCACTTTTGTCTTTCTTGACTTTGACATTTTCCAAACAAAAGTGGCCAATTATTTTCTACCATGTCTCTCAGTTTGAGTATGTATATATTTTTAAAACTTCACATTCGGGTTTAATCTGTATTTGTAGCATTTTAGGATAGATAGCAAAAGAAATCAATAGATTAGTAAGCAGAACATCTGATGAAGAAATACCTAGTGCGGAAGATGTAGTATAATGAATTAACACTGGAAATGGAGTTCTTCCGTGAGTGCTCCTGCTGTCTTGAACACCTTCCTTAATTCAGTTCTGCAAACCAATGCTTATTTTCATATCGGGACTACCTAAACATTGGTCTTTATTAACTGTCAAAATCAGGAGGCTTGATCTGTGGTTAGAATTTTGGGTTCTGTGACCCTTTTCTAATAATTTACAAAATGTTGTGTATCGAAGAAAGTACATAGGAGTTTGGAGAAATAAGTCTGGATAAAAGCTTTTTAATTCTATAAAAGGAATTCATATTTATATTCTTCCAACAATGAGCAATTTAAAGTTTTGGCAAGGAAAGGGAACAGGAAAATTGGTGCATGATTTTGTTCAGAAGGAATATCTTTCTGAAAAACATGTTAATTTCTTCTATTAGGAAAGGAAGTCAGTATCCTTTCTTCTGGAGTGGGCCTAGGTCCCCGTTTCTGAAAATGAAGAGGGGTCTACTATTACTACAGGTTTGCGGCCTTTTGCTGTCAGCTTCTTGCTTCTCCTGACTCTTTGGAAATGTACAAATTTTTCCAAAGTGTCAAGTGCAAATCTGGTTCAGTGCTTCCCTGTTAGAAATAAAGTAATCAGGAAACTCAGTGGAGTTTGGGGAGCTGGCCAGTTGCATAGCTAACTTTCCATTTTCCATAATAGTCGTTAATACTTGAAACAGAAAAACTAAAATTGTGTTCAGTTATTGGAAGTGTTTTATAAAAGCATCAGGCCAGAATCGAGGCAGTTGCTTCTGTGAAAATTGGGAATGGGAATGGTACTGCTTTTTAAAACAAGCTCTATTGAACTTTTTTTTTTTTTAACTAAGCTGTTTATAATCTTTTGAAAAGAGAAACTAGATCTTGCTCAGTTATATAATATGCAGTACTGTTTGCTGTGACGTCTATGCTTGGGATGGCTTCCTGAAACTGCACGTCTCACAGGAGTGCTTTTCCTCTGCAGAGGGCTGGTTTTCGGTTACCCCCGAGAAGATCGCTGAGCACATTGCTGGCCGCGTCAGCCAGTCCTTCAAGTGTGATGTTGTGGTAGATGCGTTCTGTGGAGTCGGAGGAAATACCATTCAGTTTGCCTTAACAGGAAAGAGAGGTAATTAGCCATCAATGGAAGAAAGTAATTTATTGTTAGTTTATTTGAATAAAAAGTTTCATTTTGCTTCAGCCTGTCCATGCTGAGATATTATGTATAATCAGTAATCTAATGCCCAATATTCCAAATAATAATAGCAGGGCTCAGTTAAGTATCCAACTCTTTAGTTCGGCTCAGGTCATCATCTCACAGTTCATGAGATCAGGCCCCACACCGGGCTCTGTGCTGACAGCACAGAATAATTATGAACATTTAAAAATAATAATACTAGGTAGCATATACTAAGCCATACACCTTGTATCACATACTGGTGTAAGTGCTTAATACGTATACACTTATTAGTCAGCAATCTTGTGAGGTGCATCTTTTATTATCTGTGTTTCACAGATAAACAAATAAATGGAATAACTTGCCCAGGATCACACAGACACAGCTTGGTGAAGCCAAGATGAATGACATTGTGTAAAACTACCAGTTGTAACATGGGAAGCCATTCCTTAGAAGAAGAGTGACAGGGAGTCCCAGCTTTGCCACTTTGATGACTTTGGACATCATTTCACCTCAGCTTAAAGGAGACCTTAAATTGAGATCATCTCTGAAACATCTTTAACATCATAAGACTCTAAACATCTTTCACATAGTAGATCATCCTCGTGTTTGACTTCAGAAACACGAAAAAGAAAGCCTCTATTACTCTATATCTGCCAAGAACTATGTCAGGTAGGTAGTGCATGTGCTGTTTCCCAGGGAAAAGAAAGCTTTATAAAATTGAATGATCTGCCCAGATTGGCACAACCAAGTCATGAAGCTAGGGTTTTTTCTGATATCCCTATTCTTTCTAAATTCTTTTGAAAGTGTAGTATAATGTGACATTTAAATTTTTTTTAATGTTTTATTTCAGAGAGAGAGAGCATGATCAGGGAAGGGTCAGAGAGAGAGGGAGATACAGAATCTGAAGCAGGCTCCAGGCTCTGAGCTGTCAGCACAGAGCCCGATGTAGGGCTCGAACCCACAAACTGTGAGATCATGACCTGAGCCAAAGTCGAATGCTCAACCGACTGAGCCACCCAGGTGCCCCTAATGTGATATTGTAAACATATCAGTTGAGTCATACTCTGAAGATGATTTTCCCCCCAATGTCTTTCTATTATACATGTTGTTTCCATCTCAGTGAGTTACAGGTAAGTCTCATTAGTTTATATACAGTTCTTACTATTAACTAGGAAAGTGTGATTCTGGAAGCATAACATAGAAGCTAACAGTGATGAAGGAAAACTTAACATGAATGTGACCCCTATTTACTCATGCTCTGGGGCATGACATTGCTTACCTTATATGGTCTCCTAATAGCCTGAATGAAAGTTTTCATAGTTATTATAATAGGAATTATTTTCTCGTTTTCCTTGAATTCATTATTGACTCTGAAATTTCCTCTCCGCAGTTGCCAGGTAAGCCATTCCTATAGGTCAGATCAGTGTTTATTGCATGAAAATGATTTTTCCTCAAAAGTTGTCACATTGGTCTTCATTTTGACATTGTATCATAACGTGACAGTTAAAATATCTGCCCTCCAATAAAGCAACAAATAGATCTGGATATTTTTTCAATTATTATGGAAACTCTCCATATTGTAGATTTGTATTTCTCTGAATATAGGTCTGTAGCCAAGGCTTTCTGCAGCTCAGTACACCTTTGGTAAAGGAAAATGCCTAATCTGGGCCCCAAGCTAAAGGAAGTCTATTTCTGCCATGTTCTCCCTGATCCAACCTTCCTCACAGCGCCTGAGGGTCTTTTAATCATGCACGCTTACGGATAGCCAGCTTCTGGTAGGAGAGGGAAGCAGATAGCAAACACCATGCCTCTCTGGCACTGTCGTGATCCTGCTTCTGTCTGCAGCATGTGGAATGTGGAACGGGAAGCTTAGGCCTCCTCAAGCCTGTTCAGCCTGTTCAGCATAGTGATATCCTGTGACCCATTCCCAAATAAGCAGCCCACAGATGCTCTAATGTCAGTGGTAGGTGCTGCACCATGGTAAGGAATTCAGAACATTTGAAGTATGATTATTGTGTGCCTACATATCTCTGTGTGCATTGAGATATATATATATGTATACACATATGCACGTATAGTCATTCTTCAACTGAATACACACATACACGTGTATGTACCCATACACATAAGAGAAAATAGCATTGTGTATAACTGGCATGCTCCCTTTGTGCCACTTATTTCCTTCCACTCAGATGGTGGTTGTCTATGCATATAGTCAGCTGAATGTGAAAGAATCCACAAAGTTTTGCATTTTGATGTTAAAGATTTTTTCCCTCTTGGTGTACTTCAAGTATCACTGCTATTCAATAGAATTTTCTATGTTGATGGAAATGTTCTATCTCTGTATTGTCTAGGTATGATAGCCACTGGCCACATGTGGCTGTTGAGCAGCATTTAAAATGTTTCAGTGAGATTGAGGATCTGAATTATTTATTTCAATGTAATCGATGTAAAGGTGATGGCCACATATGGCTAGTAGCTCCCATCACTGGAGAGTGCAGTTCTGTGTAATGTCACCCAACATTGGTCAGCATTTCATTTACATAGTAGACTGAGTGCTTATATTCTGTTAGGCCTAAAAATAAAGCAGCCTCAAGGGGAATGTAGACAAAAACCTGAGAATTAACTGAGCATGTTTGATGTTGAAAGTCATTTTTCCCCATTGAGTTTTTGGTGTTGTCGGTATATCTGTCCATCTGTCCCTGTACTACAAGTGGACAGATTGAACAGCTAAAAGGACATTTTCATCTTTTTGCTAATGAATGTTGGCTTATTTAGAACAGAAAAATAGCATTGTAAATGCATATTTTCAACATGTAGTTGAAGCTCGTATACATTGGTCAAGTGATTATTTAGTGCATTCTTTCTCAAAAGTGTTAACACATTTTGAAACCAGCATTTTCTAGAAAATAACTGTTTCCAGACACCCAAGGTGTATGCATTAGGGTTCCACTTAGACCTTTCAGGTATGAAATATTGCCACTAGCATGCTGGTACACATACAGGTACGCTGGAGGTATTTACTGTAGGACACGAGTGAGCTAAAATCAACTTACGTTTGCATTGCTAATTATGAAATTGCAGTCAATTAAATGAAAGCCCATTCGGTGAAAACATAATGCTGTCAGTTCCCTGCTTCCTAAGATGTCTCATTAAACATCATCAGCAGATGTTTTTACATTTCTTTTTCATAAAGTTGGCTCTGTAGGTTTGTCTAGTGTGTTTCTATTTGCTCTTCTGTAGATGATGTCAAATTTGTCTTTGGAGGCTGTGTCATTTTAGGAACCTTGTCTTTTCTGAAATCCTCGTGTTATAGTCGGTGACCTTTCCAGGCGTGCGCTGCTCGGGCCGCCAGAGCACAGTGCTAATAAACAGGCATTTTGCTCTCAGTACATACTGCGTGACTACGTCTCTACTTGATTTGGAAAAGCCGGCCGAGGGACACAGCTGTGAACGCCAGGTCATTTAGTCCCATTTTCTTGGTACTACACAAGTGAATCTGTCTACTTAAGGTTTAATTCTTTAATTAAATTTTTATCCCTGGTATACGTACCAAACTTCCTTGGTCTTTAAAAAAAGTTCTTAACAAAGAGAAAAAAGCAGACTGCTCAGAAGGTGAACTGCTCTGTGTAACAGTGTCATTTGGCTCCTCTCTTCTTTTCCCACTTGTAGTGATCGCCATTGACATTGATCCTGTTAAGATTGATCTTGCTCGCAATAATGCCGAAGTTTATGGAATAGCAGACAAGATCGAGTTCATCTGTGGAGATTTCCTCCTGCTGGCTTCTCATCTAAAGGCTGATGTTGTGTTTCTTAGCCCCCCTTGGGGAGGACCAGACTATGCTACTGCAGAGACCTTTGACATTAGGACCATGATGTCTCCTGATGGATATCCTTTGGAAGGCTGACAGATTACTCAAACAGTGCTTGTAGACAGAAGGGGGTGCGTATGAATGTGTGTGTGCACGCGTGTGTGTGCACGTGTGTGTTTCAGGTATAGAGAGGTTAGTGAAGTGGGGACATACCCACTAATAGCACTTGATAGGTTCCAGTTTATTTTGCTTTTTTATGTAAAAATTAAGCATGTAAAAATTAAGTGGTGGTTGATTTCCAAGAGTAATGGCAAACGTGAAGTTACATTTCTTATGGTTACTATCCAATTATATCGTTATAAAACAAGGAGTAGGAAGTATTAATTGCTTGAAATTACTGTCTTGGAAATTGGTAGAGTCCTCAAGACCCTAGAGTCTGTCCCTAGAGTCTGGGTAACCGTCCTTCAACTTTTCTTCAGCTTACACTGGCTTCAGCTAATTCTCTTTGCATCTTCCAATGTTTCCTCTCACTTCCAAGATACCGAAGCAAAGTTTTCTTTCATGATAACATTTTTTTGGTCCCTTACTTTATCTCTACTCCCAGAGGAATCATCTCTTTGACTCTAACAGGAAGCATGTTTCTGAATTGCTAATTAAAATTTAGAATGTAAATCACAGTGACCAGATTTACTTGTCTTTTATTCTTTACTGGAAAGAAGTGGTATTGTGCTCTCCTGTTCTTTCTGTCCTCATGGTAATTAGGAAGCGGCAGAAAGAGTATATTTCTGACTCTTGGCTACCCTCCACAAGGATAATTAGATGAACGGTTTTACCTTCTAATCTATGACCCATCTGAGTTACAAAATCTGCTAATTAATTCTCGTTTAGGTTCCTGTAGAGGATCTAAATGTGCGTCTTACTGTTACGTATCAAAATATATTTGGGTTAAGATCTAAGAATGTATCTCTGGTCAGAAATGAACTGATGTTTTTGTTACCATTCCTTAACTCCTGTCCACCTTTGAAATCTTCAGGCTTTCCCAGAAGATCACTAATAATATCGTTTATTTTCTTCCAAGAAACGCTGATATTGACCAGGTAAGCCACCACTGGAGAACTTCTATGAGCCTGTGGCATAACTGGTAGAAGAAAGATATAAGGCATTTCTTTGAGAACATATTTATGAGAAGGCTCTGGCTTTCTAACTGTTACTAGAAAGCAGGAGGTGTTTGGCCGTTAAATCCATGCCTACTTCATGCACTTCATCTCCACAGCTCCTGGCGGACGTAGACACGAGTAGAATATGCTGGGCTTTTCATATGTTCCGAGAGGATGACCGCATGTGGAGTGTTTGAAATGTGCATGCCTAAACTAGTCCAGATCTGTCTTTCCTGAAGCCTGCCTTGAGAACAGAGTTTAAAGTACTCCTCAAAAGAGGAGCCTAAATAGAAATATACAGACAGATGAAACCTTACTGTGGCCAGAAGCAGTTTTACCCAGAGTCTTGGATTGTGTGACCCTTGACAAGCAGTTAAATGTCTTCATTCCATTCTTACCCTAAACATTTATTTTAATAATGTTATTTTTTCCTCTGGTAGAGTTGGATTTGGTATAACTGCCTCATGAGGATTTGATGGTGTCTTTGTTTCATGTTTTTGTTGATTTGCTTTTTATAAACACTTGCTACGAAGTTGCTGCGTGATAAGCATTCTGTTGAAAATCTTGTTTTTCGTATTTTAATTTTACTAGTGTAACTAGGTCTGGGTTTTTCCTTTCTCTCCTGTTTGATACTCTGAGAGCTGACTCTGTCGTGCTGAACTTTTCATCTAATTCTGGAGAAATTATCTCCCATTATCTATTCAGCTAAATTTCATACCACCTTTGTTCCCTTTTCTGGGACATCACTTATGTGGGTGTTAGTCTTTTATGGCTCTATTTCCTGGCGCTTTTTCTCTTCCTTTTTCTTGTAGGAGATCTGGTCTCCCAGCTAGTTTATTCCTGAGAGTATATTCCTTGTGTTTTTTAGTTCAAGTAGTATATTCTTTATACTTAAAATTTCTGAACTGTTTTTGTTTTCTTTAATAATATCACTTACTGTTGTTAAAAGTTTAAATTCCTAATCTGGTCTATCCTTTCTGTATTTCATATAATTTAGAATCCATTTTGTTTTTCTCCCATGAAATACTTGTGGTCCTCACATGTCGTAGTGTATGTTGGCTACTCTCACGTAATGTGGAAGGAGACAGGCCAGGCTAGAAACTCGCGTCAACTCCGGCTGTACACTGGGGACCCTGGGAACCCTTACAAATCTGTGACTATCTAAGCCCAACCTCAGAAATTGCTCTAACCAGGTTTTTAAAGCTGCCAGATCATTGTAACATGTGGCCAGGCAGCCAGGCCTGCTGAGCACCCCGTTAGCCCCAGCAATGAGCTTATGGGATGAAAGTGGGGACGCCGTGGGGCTGCCAACCCAGGACCCATGGGCTGCGGTTCATTATTATCACCCAGCACCGTCTCAGGACACCACTCCTCGCTTTGGGGAGGAGCTGAGTGAGAGCAGCATTCAAAGGCTATGTGTGGTCTTTAATCTTGGAGTGAGCTCACTGGGGTGGGAGACAGCGGCTGCCTGGGATTCGTTCCCACCCGCTCCTCCCAGCTCCTCACAGCGGGGTTCTTTTCTGCCGACCCTAACTAGACTGCGCCCAGGCCAGAGCCCCCAGCCTCTGAAAGGCAGAGCAGACACCAAATACACGGTTAGGGGTGGGAACAGGCAGAGCAGAATTTCTGGTTCTTGTTTTCCGTCTTGCTGTCTTGGCTTCTCACAAGCACATGCCTCCTGCCTCAGGCCAGAGGCACTCCCTCCATCCTGCACACACATCCAGACCGCATCCAGACCGGGGCTCCACAGGCTCCTTTTGTTCGGCGGTTTTCCTTTGTAGTGTCCCTGGGTAGCCAGCAGTCATACTAGCTCAGCGGCTTCCTAGGGCTTTGGCCCTGGGGACATAAATGACAGTGCAGCCTTCTCAAAAGGGAGGGTGGGGATTAAGTGTGCTGGGCCCTGGTGGGATGACTTCAGGAAACACTCTGATGATCTAGGGCGTCACCTGGATTTGAAGTCCAAGAAGCTCTGTTTGTAGGAGTGGAGGAGCAGGTGGCTAGAGCAGTGGGGACGTGAGAGCGGGGACCTGTGGATGGTGTTCAGGTAACCAGCTCAGAAGGAGAGATCGTATCCAACAGACCTAGTGTAGCCTCAGCCCTGCCGCCTACTGGCTGTCTGGCCATGGCTCTGAGGCCTCAGAGAGCATGTGGGCGCAGCATGTAACACCGCACGTCTGCCCCGTGGGCCTTCGGTATGTCCTGTGACGGACGAGACCCTGTTACAAGCTGTTGGCAGAGGAGTGGACATGTTACTGACACTTGAAAGAGGACCAAGATGGAAAGAGGGCGTGTTTTCTCCCGGGAATGGAGTAGAAGGTCTCCTGTCTGTCAAAGGATGACATTTAATTTATAAATACACCTCCCGGGTCACGTAGTTTTCTCATCCTTCCATCAGAAACATACACTGAACAGATGTAGCCTCGCGTCACTTTGTCACGCCCTCCCCGTCTTGGCTCCTTTCCTTGGTCTTTGGAACACTGGCCCCCAGCTCTGGCTACTTACTGGAATTGCCTGAGTGGCTCCTAAATTGTGGTCAGGTGCACATCCATACCCACAACTTCCCGTAAACTGTCTGTACACGTACCGGTCAGTGGCATTGGGCGCATTCACACTGTTGTGGACCCGCCCCACCATCCGTCTCAGAACCTGTGCGTCTCCCCAGACTGAAGCTCCGTCCTGGGAAACGCTAACTCACCGTTACTCCTGCCCCTGGCAACCCCCGGCCACTCTGCCTCCGTGAACTTGACTGATCTGCGTACCTCAGATCCGTGGAATCATACACGATGTGTCCTTTTGTATCCAGCCATCGCGCTGCGTATAATGCGCTAACAGTGCAGCCATGTTTCAGCATGTGCCAGAGGTCCTTCCTTGTTAAGGCCAAATAATGCCCCACTGCGTGTGCGTGCCACCATTTACCCGTTCATCAGGGCACATCCTGAGCTGTTTGCAGCTTGCGGCTGCTGTGAATGCTGCTGCTGTGGGCGCACAGTATCGATCCTGCTTTCAGTTCTTTTCGGTGTACGCCCAGCAGCAGCATTGCGGAACCAGGGTAATTCTGTGGAGCATTCTGAGGGCCCGCCGTACACTTCTCCGTAGCAGCAGCCCCATTGGACATTCCTGCCAGCAGCTCATAGAGACTTCCAGTGTCACCGCATCCCGGCATTGGTGTTTCTGTTAGGTGTTGTGTGATTGTGACGATAGCTGTCCTGATGGGCGTGCAGAGCTGTCCCGGTGCCGGCTTCATCTGTACCTGCCTGACACCGCGTGCTGCTGACCCACCCTCCGCTCACGTGCGTCTCTTCCAGTCATTCGTCCCCTCGGTGTGCACTTTGCCAGATTCTTCCCCATCCTGTGGGTTGCCTTTTTACTCTCTTGATAGTGTTCTTAACTGTACAAAGTTTGTAATTTTGATGAAGTTCAGTTTAGCTCTTTTTTTCTGTGTGTTGACTGTGCTCTTGGTGTCACAGTCAAGAAATTGTTACCAAGTCTAATATCGTGAAATTCTTGCCTGAGTTTTCTTCTGAGAGTTTGATAATATTAGCAAGTAGCTTTTTAAAACTACCAGTATCCTGCTTCGCCGGGAAAGATTTCGTTCTGATTTATTTTCTTGGGTGAGGACCACGCATAAATTTTTTAAAAGTCCCCAAATGATTATAATATGCTGTCAGAGCTGAGATTCTCTGGGTGAAGAGAAGGGTAATAAATAAAATGAACGAGCTGAGCTCTTACCCTCGGGGGTTAAAGGAGATGAAATTAGATCTTGTCGTCTGTCATCTCTTTATGAGCCTCAGTGTTTGAACATTAGACCAAACACTGTGTGCTGGGCCAGTTACAAGAAAAAGCACTATCCCCTTGCTTCGTGCATTTTTTATATCAAATCTTGTATTAACCCATATTTCCCAGTCTTGTGACTCTGATCTGCATCCTGGGCTCCCAAGTAAAGTGGAGCCTGTTGATTCCATAATTCTTATTTGCTCGTGTAAATATTAGGCTGTATATTACTAGCCTCCTAAGTGGTTATATGGTCCTTATATTAAATGTTTGATGGGCCTCTCGGGGTACTTGAATGACAATAGGAAATTCACTATTTATTGCAAAAGTTACAATGGGTATGTTTTTTCTAGTTAAATTAACATTTTCCCAAGGAAAAGGTTAACTTTTTTTCTTTAACTTGTGTTTTTGGTTTACTTCAGAAACCTGCCAAAATTAGTTCATTCACATTTTCTGCCTGCAGAGGGAGTAATGGCACTAAAGAATACTAAAAGTCAAAAAGGGAATGAGGTTTCAAGTGTGTTATATTGTTTGGTATTAAGTTTGGATCAAATTACAGAAGGAAGTCAACTTTTAAAATGAAAAAAAAAAATCTGTCCATCAATAGTATTTTTTAAATGGGAGAAAAGGCAGTCCTGCCAGAATGAGAGAAAGCAGCAGTACGGGTAAGTCAGCTTTTTTGTTAAGGAACATTTAGAATGTCACAGCACCCTGAACTTCCCTGTGGGCCGGGTTCCCAAAGCATATGGGTTGTCTTTCCCCATAGAAGCGTCTGTAGAGAACAGTTAGTTTCCCATCCAGGGAGATTTGTGCCCGTGGTATTTTCTTTCAGGTAGGTAAAGTGAGTATGGACCCGGCACAGATACAGTTTGTCCGTCGTCTTTGCACGTGGAAGATGAGGCTCGTTGTGTTCTGTGTCTAGTAAACTATTTTTCTACATCCTCTGTTATCTCGGTCTCTCACTCCCGTTTTCTGTGTGAGGTTTTTCCAGGACACACATTCCCTCATTACCCACACTCTCACTATCCAACTCGGGAACTCAGTGATTTAGAAAGTCTTTTTGTGATAGGCTCTTTGGAGGGAAGTCACAATTGGAACTTTGGAAGTGATCAGATTCAGTGTAGGGGGCCCAGGACACATGTATGTATCTCCTGGTGCCTGTTCCGGTC